TGTTTTTCTCGTTGCCATGTTCCCACCAATAACGTAGCTCCATTTTCTGCCTTTAAAAGCACACACAACCCACAATTCCTCTATTCGCTCCGACGAAGGGCTAACGCTTGAAACGTCAGCTTTTGTAATCGTTACGGTGGCCAATTTACCATTTCAACTTTGTTGATATATCCAAATTATAATTTGTCGGTCTGTTAAAAGGTTTCATTCGGTCAGTTGATGAGCCATGCGTTGGGCCATTGGTAATCTGTTGATTGGTCGATCATTCCTGGTCCGTCGGTCGGTTACTCGGTTCATAATCCGTCGTTATTCGGTTGGTAGTCCTTTTTTTCCGTCGATCAGTCAGGCATTTAGTCGGCTGGCGAGTCAACAACTCGTATGGCATTCTCTTCAAGACAGTTAATTGAATCAGATTCACCTTGTGTGTGTGGCAGTAAAATAGAAATGATTGTTTCTACTTCCCACATTTGATGTCGAGTTAAATCGATCGGCATGTAATCTAGTAAACTAACTTCCTTTGAAAACACTTAACGTTCCTTGGGTGGTTATTTATTATCATAATTTGCATACATGTTTATGTGCCAATGTTCTGAAGGAAAATTAAATCTTAAGTCAAATCCGTGTTCTTATATTTTTAGGCAATTAGATGATGACATGCAGTCAATCAAAGAACTAAACAAAGAGATAACTAGTATGATAAAAAATAGAGATAAACCATCCCCTCAAGGCGACTTACTAGAACTTTATCAAAAGACCGACAAACTCTTGAAAAGAATTCATTTGCGGCGATTCCAGCTGGACCAAGACTTGGATTATATCACAAAAATGAGAGGAAAAATTTCTGGTGACAAAGATACCGTGGAGGAATCGATGGATGATGCGCAAATTTTGCCTACGAAGGGTGGTATTGATAAAGTTGTAAACAAGTTGAAAACTATGATCCAAGATCTGGACATTAACAGCGAAGGGAATGCAAAAGGTGCAGATTTTGGGAACGAAGGAAGTGCGGAAACAAAGCCTGCCAGCTCTGCAATTGACGATGTTGACCAATTGGAGTCATCAGAATCTTTTGATGAGAGCGACACGAAATCAGGAGTGAGGGTGAAAGTGTCAAAGGTTAAGAAAGTGATCGTTGGCGACGATGAAGACTCCGAGATGGAAGAAGCAGATCTTGATGATGAAGAAATGGAAGAGTTGGGTCTCCAAAAGCGAATTCGTATGGCTACGAAGAAAATGGAAGAACTAGTCAAACAGCAGTTGAGAGACTCAGGAGTCTTCCCTTCAGGTATCAAACATAACCAGAATTAAGAAACCTTTTGAAAATCTTATATCTGTAATGTTCTTGGTGCGCAGCCATCGCTTGGACGTGTCACTTACCTATTGCTGTCTCTTTAACTGTTTCAATCTCAAGAGTGTCCAGAAAGGAAAAATGATGGCGGAGAACATAGGAAAACATTAATCAGAGAGCATACTTCGATTTAATACCACATTCTCTAAACTTAAATCATGGAAATGTTGGGCCCACAGTGTGGAGAAGTGATTTTTTTATCTAAGTATTAAGTAGGTTGATGCGTTCGTTGCGAAGTTTTGGAGTCACATGGTGATATTTTCATTTGCTTTTTTTTTTCTGGGAAATCGCGAAGCTACCCTAAACTTTAAGGAAAAAACAAAATATGTTTGTCGAGATAGAAAAACAATCGTTCGTAAAAATAAATCAAAAGGAAGAGAGAATACGAACACACATTACAATCGATGACGTACTTAAAAAGTTAGGCTGATTCCTTTAGGATGTCAAAAGAGTAACGTATTTTTTTTAAGTGAAGTATAAATCGTGACATATAATATGATCATGTTTAGGCAAGATAAAGGTCAAGATTGTTACATCCAAAGATGCTCTGGAGAAGATGGAAGGGAAAAACAACATGAAGTTACTCAGCGACGATGAAGAAAATCAATTTAAAAACATGATCCTTGGGCTATTGGTAAGCTGAGAACCGCGAAACATTTAAAAAATGCTGGAGCGAGTGAACGAAAAAGCGTCGTACACCTTCCACTTTTTTTACATTTTAGCCCCTGATCTGTGTCCGTTAACAGTGACGCATACTGAAGCGTATGGGCCGAAGCAGCGGCTTCAAAATAAACGAATGCCTTACTTCACTTAAGTTCAAACATCGTTAAAAAGGAGAGAGGAAAAGAAACCAAAAAATATCGGGCATATATCCCCGTTCACTAGGTTTATAAATACCGCACGTCTTTCTAGAAAGGTCTTTTCAAACTTTTTTTCAAAAAGTAATTTACCAGGTTAATTTCTTTTCCCTGTTATTCTGGTCGTACAGTCCCGTGTTTGTATTCTTTGCTGGACTTTGTGAAGCATTTACAATGTCCGCAAACGGTATAGTTATACCACTTCAAAGTCGACAGTTCAGATTAATGTTTTTAAAGGTTATGCCAGTATTTTTTATTTGAACCTCATCTGTCCATTTTCTTTCCTAATCTATCAGGGAGGCAGTCCTGACGCTGGGAAAGAGAGAAAGCGTCAACAAGACTTGGAAAACAATTACAACTTAGTTTGGAATGAAGACGAGCTACAGACAGTGCCAAGGGAAGATGATGAAGCTGATGGTGAAGTGGAAGTAGAATCATTTTACTGAGCTACAATCTAACTTTTCCACTCCTTTTTAATACAGATTTATTCGTCTTGTCACGAGCGTAAGACAAAGAAAAATAATTCGAGTGCTAGCATAAAGAAAACAACCTCATACCTTTGGACACTGCGCTCTGATACTCAACTATGTAGATACTCTCTCTCACCTTAAGCTCAGCGGGCGGACATCACGGCGCGAAATCTGAAGGACTGGAGTTCGATTTCTCATGGGGACAACAAGGCGAAGACCATCTTAGTTCCAACATAGAGATCAAATTTACCATCTTTGTTATGTTCTGTAGATCCAATTTAATATAAATATATTTCATCGATCCGTCTGCACTATAACGAAATGCTTCTGTAGGTACATTTCACGTTCAGAATGGCGGAAATGTTTTGTTTACTGCAGCATACTCCTTCTTCCAAAGGGATACCTTTGGAAATAGGCTGGTACAGAGCATCGGTCGATGGTCTCATTGAGCATAATACAACAAGATAGCACGGTCACCCTATTTGTGATTTGGGTCAATTAGCGGACATAACTGATTTCTTGACCCCAAGACGGTCTCTTATGCGGGAGGGAATTTCTGCAATGTGCCCACAGTGAGCTGTTAATCAACACAGTGTTGGATTGAATAAAAAGGGAGTCGAGGTTTCTTTCAAATAGATTATTGTTAAACAAAAGTATTTATTGTAGAGTTTGTATAAGTTAAGGTTAAAAAAAATCAACAGAATACAACATAACTGCACCGCTCGCGCTTTCTCTTGCGCGAAAGTCCCTACCAAGATGGCAGATTTTAAGTGATTGCTTAATCTCTCTCTACGTGTAGTGTACATACCCTAAATAAAAGAAAAATCTGTTTACCATACACTTTGTATTGGAATTGTGGAAAAGCGAAATATTTTAGCTTTGTTTGTATCCAGAATCTTTCTCCTTCGTAGCTTTTATACGGCCGCTTTCCGTTTAACGCGTTGACCTGGTTCCTCACCAACCCAACCCAACCCTGCTTAAGATTTCGTCCAAATCAAGTTTTAATGTAAATCTAACTATGACAACGGGTGGACTTGCCTAAGTGACCTTATAACTCGCTAGTTTTACAAGACAGACGAAAGAATCTCTACAGCTCGTTGAGTGGAGCAACGAATAACATCGACGTAATGGAAGAATTTCTGTCACATGAATTCACTTGATTACCATGAAGGTACATCTTCAGATACTGAACATGACAAGAAAACAACAAACTGAGACCTTTCAGTTCAGTTAATTACTACTTTATTCCCGTCTTTTTTTTGACCAAAGAAAACATGCTAAAACGCAAAAATCCTGTACAGAGCAAAGGAAATTCTAAAAGTTGATGCACGGTTAATTTACATAGTCAGCTCCTGGAAAAAGAAAAAAACAAAAATATTATTGGCAAAATGACCCACAAGCTGCATCTTTTAAAATAGCTGTGGGTGGAGGCTGTGATAACAGAAGATGAATCATAGTTAAGAATAAACGACACGCCAAAAAAACAAACAAAAAAAGGAAACACCCACTCAAGACCTCTATTGGCTTAGATAGACAATTTACTTGATCATCACTTGTCAAACTATTTAAACAATAGAGTGTTTCTGTCGAGGAACTATTGGCTGAAAGTTGCCCCGCGGAAATTTGATTTTCTTAAAACAAATATTTGCTCGAGAAGTGAAGCTTCGAGGGCATATATGCTAGTTTTAAGAACATCAAATTTCCAAGGGGCAACAATCAGAAAGACAGTTCCGAGACAAACACTCTATTGTTTTTATTGTTCACCACTAAATTTTCTTCCGTGCCAACAGCTTGTCACAAATGTCAATAATTCGCAAACGTACATTGGCTAAATAATACGTTATACCTGTCAGAATTGAAAAGTCACTGTTTTTCCGATCTGCCTGACTTCACGGCCATCAAACTATTCAAACCTTTTCACGGATGAGTACTATCAATCCAGGTATTTTCCGCGGACAGGCACTATCCATCCGGGTATTTTTTGTGGGCAGGCACTATGGGCTGATAGTCTCTCTCCACGGATGAACACTATCGTGTCACGTGATCAATTTGAACCAATAAGAACCAGAGAAAATTTAGTGGTGAACTACAATTGCTGATAGGAAGCAATATTCTCAGGTCTATCAAATTTAAGACAGAAGATACCAACATAGCAGATACCAACACTTACCATAATGGCATTGACAATATCATTTTCGTTATTTTTCAAAGCTTTGATAGCCTAAGAAGGGAAATAAAAAGGGAGAGCAGGTGAGTTATCACAGTTGATGTATGTGAAAAAGTTTTTCATCATATACGTGTTGTCTTGTACAGCCCCATATGCACTTTTGTTAAAAAACCATTCGTCACCATTGACAGGACTGCCAGTTGAGAGAAGAATGGAAGAGAGACTATTCATTATGCAATGAAATGCTCTCTGACTGAATTACATTGTACTGAGTGGGAAAATATTTGGCTTCAGGTTGTGACATACAGACTGAGTGCCCTTCCAATTATTCATAACACTCAATAACTGCCCTATCTTGTCATGTACTCTACAATAAAAAAAACAAACAAACAAACAAACAAACAAACATGTGAAGGAAAAACCTGTGATTTGGAAATCCACAATGTTAATTTTTTGTGGTAAAAATGAAACAAAAGATGACAGCATTAGGAACATCAACATCAAAACAAGACAAAACAAACCCACACACAACAGAATTATACAACTGGAATTAATTAGTAACATACCTTAGATCTGGAGACATTAGCCTGCTGCATAACTAGTTCAATATCTTTTTCCTCAACGGAGCTATCATTGATCTGCAATTGACAGAAGTTCAATTTAAATTAAACCATGGGAAGTTGGTATTTTCATCTCCAATAATGAAAAGTTCACTTTAGTAACTGAAGAAAGAGAAAGGTAATCACATAAATTTTCGCTTGGTGAAAAACCCTTGAATAAGGGGTAAAAATTTTTTCCATTTAGATAGTTCTGCCATTGTGGAATAATAATATATAGATTTAGCCTAGCCTAAAAGCGGAGCTCCCAAATTCGTAATATTAATGATAACAAAAGATGTGCATTTGCCAAGACTCGCCTGAGACACCCCTCCCTTCATTTTGATAGTCTCCCCTACCCTACCCGTGCAATCTGAAGGCACATACGTATGTATGTACACTCGGTCAGTCACGTGACAACCAAATGAAAAGAGGTTGACCATATTCCATGGGTATGGGGCTCTGCCCCATGCATGTGGGTGCCCTGCTATAAAGTAACAATTATGTGACAAGACTCCACCAACTCCCAAGGAAAGAGGCTTTTTAGCAATTAGAAGCTGTAAATTACACTCCGCATACAGTTATTAATTCATACTTTTACTAATGATTCACTAGAACAAATATTTATAAGAATACCAAATTACTATATACAAACTGAAGAGACCAAAAATGTACAAATGTGATAGAAAGAGGTGATAATACACTAGAAAAAACAGAATACTAACAAGATCTGTATAGCAACTCCAGAAAAACACAAAAAACAAACTTTACTAGATTTGAACCAGAAATGGATACAGCAAATGAACTTCCGTAACAATAAACAATTGTGTAATGCAACATCAACAACAAAAAAAACTACCAACATTTGAACAACAGCACTAAACCAAACTAATTGTGATGAAATAACTAGAATAAAAAGCAAGCAAGAATTTAGAAAAATTTGCAGAAGAATCTACTTCTCGTGCTTACAGAAGCTAAATAGTGAGAATTCCTGCTTACCTCTTCTTCCTCAGATTCCTCTTCCGGTTCAATGGCAGCTACCTTTGCTTCTGGTATGACTGGGGCTGGTTGGGGAGCTTTGAATTTCTCAGCCGCCTAAAATATTTATAAGCATGAAAGAAGATCAACCCTGCTCAAATGTTAGCTCATACAGACAAAGTTGTACAGACATTAGGAAAACATTTCCAGACTATTCACTCCGTGTAATTTATTCCAGACTGTTCACTGAAAACCAATGATGACCAAAAATTGTTATGAAAATATTCTTGAGTTAGTTGTCTTAACAGACAGAAAGGACCAAACCATTGATTTTAAAAACGCAAAGATACATCTGTTAGTAATGAAAGTAAAGGTTTCACTTCATTGTTTAATTAAGCTTTAAAATTATTTTTCATTTGTAGTGTAACAAAAGAATTTGAAACTGGGATTATGAATAAAGTTGTCACCTGAACTTGGGCTTGCTGGCTCAAATCCTCAATCTGCAGAGAAAATGGAATGTTTGTTAGATATGAAAACAAAAGCAGTCATAAAAATTCACATACAAAAAGTAGTGGTGTGCCCTCAGATCTCATAATCTTTAGATCAGTGGACCACATCTAGCCTAACCATCCAGCCATGTGTGTGTGTGTGGGTGTTACTCAACACAGAAATGAAGGAATGTATGCAAGTTTACACAAAATCACAACAATACAAACATAAGATGAGGCTTTCAAGTTAGGCAGATTCTCCTCACCATAAGGCATCTTTATCGTCACTGGGCACACATGAACAAAATCAAGGCACTTATGTTTTGAAAGGCACTAATGTAACTGACACTGCACAACAAGTTGGATGCAAAGATGAGGGTACTGTACTCTTTCTCTTCTATTTATGACTTTTAATTTGACCTTTCAGTTTTTTCCATGAGCTATAGGTGTTTTCTCCAAAAAAAATTGGAAAATAATTATTTGTATAACAGCCGTTTTCTTTTGTTTCCCTGAACAAAATTTCCCTTATTTTTGGTCTAACATTCCCTAGCAGACCTGTCACTAGATTCACCAGCTCTACAGCCAAGAAAAAGTTGAGACTTCATTATGAGCAAGATGCAACCCTGGATTAGGCACAACTAAAGAGCAACTGCTGGAACTGAAACCTCTTATACTGTAGGATAAAATCACCTGAACTAAGAAGGAATTTGTTGACAACATACCTTTGCCTCACCAAAAACTATGTATGTATCTGAGGCTGGGCTTTTGTAAACATCCGGCTTGTTTATCACAAATAGTATATTTTTGGATTTTCGTATCGTTACTCTGGTTACTCCAGAAACTGTTTTAAGTCCAATTTTCGACAGTGCTTTTCTGGCTTTCTTTTCTCCTCTGCTCTGTTTTGCTTTACTGACAGGTTCCTCGGTCAATCCAGCTGCAGCAGCAACTTCACTTGAAATTGCTGGTTGGCCAGCATCTCCCTCTTCAAGCTCAGGTAACTCATCATCACTGTCACTTTCAGTTCCTGAAATAACTGGAGTGTAAAAACATCATGCAGGGTTTTCTTCATTCAGATATGGAAACAGGAGTTTTGTCAACACACAAAACCTTGACATTAATATCCATATTCAACGCTTCACAATGTTCTCTCTGCATTTTATATGGTAATAGTAAGGAGAATTTGTTTGTAAATCAAGAGCTTCTTAACCCTTTCATCCTAATATCAGTAAGCATATTCTCCAGTGTTCTCTATTCATTTCCTATGATACTGAAAAGGAGAATGTGTGTGCCAGTCACAAGCTCCTAGAATTGGTGATTATTTTCTTTATTCTCATGACCTTTACGTTTGAATTAAGGCTGAAAGTGCAAGCCATTCAGTTGTCAGTGATTAAGGAGTTAAATTGGTGACCTTTCCCTTCATTCTCAAAACCTTTACATTTGATTCAAGGGTAATACTGAGAAGTGAAATTACAAGCCAGTCATTATTGGGTTTACAGGCTTAACCCTTCATTTCCCAGAAGTGATTGACATGTTATTTCTCCTTATAATATCTATACATTATCCAGCAAACAGGTCTTGAGAATACTCAAACTTATCAAGTAGGAGTTGTTATCCTGATCTAACACAAAATTCTTGTAACTAATTTCAAAGGAAATATGTTGCAGTTAGAGGGGAGAATTAAATATCAGATCTTGGGGGTTTGAGGTTTAAATAACAGGAACCTTTTTGCCACAGGTCAGTGTTTATGGACACCATGTGCCTATCTCAGTCAGCGCAAAGAGAAGAAAATCAAAGTATTCCCTCATTTCCCCAACAGATATATTATAAGGCAATATAATAAGATTTTGCACATGGATGCTCTTTATCATATTCCTGTCTAAACATATGTGGTCCCTTCAACGGTGTTAAAGTGAAAAAATAGAACCTTACTTTCACGCAATTTTCAGAATAGGCATAAAAGGCAAGTCAGATTATGTCAGGTTTCCCTGAGGAAAGCTTCTAAAGGGGTGAGGCACATTATAAGACTGAGAAGCTAAATTTACACGAATCTTGGTACACACGTAGCTTGCACGTGTGTACTATGGTGCCATGTTGGATTTACGGTAAACTGCCAACCATCTGCGGTTAAATCGCCTGATTCGCCAACCAAAAATGTAGTAATTGCAAAATTACCGGTCGATTTCAGGTGTGGTAAAACAAGGTGTTGATGATGCTATTATAAACTTTTCTCATGTCAAAGTGTCTATGCTTCTACAAGCCATGAGTTGCGTCACTGTCAAAAATACTGGGGTGGAAAATTTGCTTACTGACTGAGTGCAATTCGCCTCATAATTTGAATTTAAACAAACCATACGATAAATTTTTATCTAACTTAACGTAAAGAAACTTTTCTTACCTTCTGCATTTGCCTCTTCTTCGGCTGGAGGGTTCTCTACCGCAGGAGTCATCTGCAAACATCGACACAGAAAGAAGTCAGGATATCGAGGAAATTTTGGCAACGATGTCAGTAATGATAAGCTAAGCGAAAAGAGAAATTATCCAGGTGCTCTAAACGCGTGTCAAGCGTTTAAAATAAGATACACTATGGACGATGGAAGAAGATAACTAGACGTACCTTGAAAGAGAGATGGGCTTTGGTGCTGAAGCGACGGGAAAGGACAACCTCATTGCGCGCAGGGAATCATGGGACGATACCTGCGATTTGGCTCTCATACGCTCCAGGGCCCAGGGATTGCACGATAGCGCACTTTAGAAAATAACCTCACTTTTAGCTGGAAGAGTAATCTCTTACCTTTGTCTATTTTATATACAGAGTAGAAAGCATACTCATGGGTGTGAAACACTCATTCGACTTTTAATTCCACCAGTTTGAGATATTGTAATCTTGTTCTAATCCTCTGGTATAAGGACGATAAACCGTAGTCTCCAGCATCGTCATCCAGTCATCTGTCATAGTCATCCAGCGTCTCCAGCATCTTCTCTGCACTGCCGTAAAGTTCCGATAGTAACGACCCCCCGAAAGTAGCAACCCTCCGAAATTAACGTCAATTTTTTGTGGCTTCTCGTAAATCCCGAAAGTAGCGACACCCCCGAAAGAAGTGACCCCCCGAAAGTAGCGACCCCTTCGAAAGTAGCGACCCCTCCCGAAAGTAGCGACCCCCCCCGAAATTAGCGATCTCCCGAAAGTAGTGACCACCCCCCACTCCCAAAAGTAGCGAGATCAAGTGTTTCTTAAAAATTGTATTCCGTATACCTTTAATTTGTCAATCAACAGTCAACAATTTAGTGTACGTTACCGTAATACGTTCACGATAAGGCACTTTAATTTACAACAAGGGGAACAGTTCACTGATGTAGTGATGTACGAACGTAAACCGGTATAATTTCGTACTAACAACAGGAACGTTTCTTCAAATTGATATTAAAAACTCTATGTAGTTTTCGTCGATTATCATTAACACGAACGTCTTTGTTGCAATTAAATGACACTGAGATACAAAACGCAGCGGTGCATCATGCAGTACAATCGAAGCAGTTTAGCTTTCCTCATCTGAGTCATTTTCCTCATCTGAGAAGAAGAACTCGATCTCCCCTATATCAACTGATTCACCCATGCGGTAGTCCAGTAAACCATCGATATTTATTTCACTGTCCCTGCTACCGGAAATGGGTAGTGAAATTCCACATTTCATAAATGAGCGAGTACTATAACGCATATCATATATTGATTTACGGTATTTTATTACAGTATTGCTGTCGGTATTTATCATTGTTTCCTTATTTTTATGAAACACAATCTATACATGTGGAATGCAAACAAAATGTTGTTCTTTTTTAATTTTATGTTGTTCGTTTAAATTTCGGGAAAAAAAAAAACTCACGCCAGCTCTATTTGTAAACGATTTCTGTTCCCCGAAAGTAACGACCCCCCCAAAAGTTACGACCCCCAAAGGCTGCTAATTCCGAAAGTAACGAGGGTCGCTACTACCGAAACTCTACGGTAGTTAGCAGGGGACGTTTAAGAACCCACCCACTTCTCCCAAAGTGTTATAAGGCGCAGCAGACCAATTTTTTGGAGTAAAAAAACCCTGCTAAGCCTTTATGCAGGATTTTTTTTTTTCTGTGCTGATACCCTTGTTAAAAGTTTATTTGTCAGATCTGGACTGTGCATCTGGGATTTTCTTTCTTTGCTTTATTCTGTCACTTTTTAAAATCATAGGTCGGCGCTCATGTCGATGAGAACTTGAATCACTCCGAGGGTAATAGCACGCAAGTAGTCCCCTCATCTTTATCAAATCAGCGCAATTCGAAGCGGGAGAGCTAAGATCTGCAAGGGGTGCGGCTCTCAAATCTTCCTTCGGGTAGGGAAACGCGCGTGCTTTTGATGATGAGGGTCTGTCCGCAGGATATAGGGTAAGGTCTGACTGGTAGGTATTGTGAGGCTATTGCGGGTAATAGAAGGCGGAATAAACACTCGTTTAACTGGTGAAAGTTCTCTGTCAAATGAACAAATTTATTATGTATAAATGTTAACCTCGAATATTCTAAAAAAAAAAAAAAAAAAAAACTGCAAAGTTTGCCATGAAAAGCTAACGAAGTGGACTAACAGTAGCACCGTGATAACTTATTCAAAACTAAACCAGGGCTTATTCACGGCAGGTGCACCCAAAGACTATGGGGTTCACCACTAACTCGGGTTTGGAAAGGTCGGGCATCAATGTGAAAAACAAACAAAAAATGTTGACAATTCTTTCTCCGCTTGGCTTAACTAATTTACAATTAATCCCCTTTCTAGGCAGAAAACGTTACATGCTTAGAAATTTCCGTTTCTCTCAATTAATGAAATGTAACGTAACTACCTAAGCAAATTTCGTTAACTATGTGACCTCTTGTTGAATTGGTAGTTTATAGATAACCCCTCTATACTAAAAATCGACATTACGTTTTCAAAAGTATGTACTAGACGTCGATTTCACCATTGTCACTACTCAAACAATTATTCTCGTATTCTCTCGCTAACTTTCAAAAGTCACTTGCGGTAATAAATATTATAAAATATTCAATTGCAGATAATCGACAGAATTTTCGTTCGAAATTCAAAACATTTCGGTAGTGATGGTGATTTTTCTTAAAATGCAGTATAAAATTGTATCTAAAGACTTACAGAAAAAAACTCCGATAAACTTTTAATATCATGTACCAGTCTCACACGAATTACTTCGAGAGTTTTCCATGCGCATAAGGAACATTCAAATTATTGCCTCTTGAGGATAACATTAATCGTTTTAAATTGGTAAAGTACAGTTACTTCATAACTAAGTGAGTTCAGTTCTGCCCCGCAGAACGTCATGTTCAAATATTCATTTTAAATGGTCCTTTAAAGTCACGTACTTGATGAGTTTCAGATGGATCCCTCTTTAAAATTAAATGAGAAATTCAACATTAAATATCTTTTAACCGATCGCTGTAAAATCACACCGCCAGCTCTTTGTAAATTTTGCCAACTATTCAGTTAAGAACTTCCCTGAAAAACGCAAGGAGAATTCCTACCCAGGCTTAATGCACCGATCCCTTGCCTCGATAGGACGCTTCACTGTAAAACGCACAAGAGTATTACCACATTTTCAACATGGAAAATGAGGAAGTTGAGAAAAATCTCAAAAAGTAGTTTGCATTCCTTTGGGCAATTACAATAACGAGGGTTTAATGAGCATTCCCCCATATTGGCTAACTTTCAAGTTTTCAAAAAACATTCTCACTGTGAACTATCACAAAAGGGGCCTGAATTAACTGTAAAAGGTCAACACATTCTGTTGGTTGCCTCGGACCATCAACACTGGGGGGGAAGCCGCTGACAACACTTCCAGCCAACTCATGTACAAGAGAGGTGACGTCATCTCTACTTTAGGGACAGGTAAAGTGAGAACGATCAATTTGGCGTCTTTGGAGTGCAGACGAATCAACTCCCCGAGGCGAATATTGCGCATAGTTTTCCGGTCTTTCTCCAGAGCTTCTAGGTCTGGAAATACTTCCTTCACAGGTAATTTCATGAAATTTTGAACACTCAAGGTGGAGGGCTCCGCGTTCATACCTTCTACCTCAACGACGCTGGTAAAGTCGATTCGAAATCGCTTTAGCAGGGTCGCCATTCTGAGCTCGTTGCTCTTGAGCGCATGCGTAGAGGCAGGCGTGAAGATCCTCAGCTTGCAGTCTTTCCAATAGCGGTGGATTGACAGCAGGTAAGGTATGAGAATCGTCAAGCCGCCATCATCGAACAGCCACCACACATCAATGGTCCCTTTAGGCTTCTCTTTAAAAGCTTCCTCCTGCGTAGTCTCCTCTGGTTTGACTGGTGCCACAGGGTCAGTCAGTCTGGTCGTCTCGTCGACTTTGTCATCCGGTTCATGATTTTCCTCTTCGCTCATCGTTTTGCTAACGGTCACTTTAAACTTTCCTTTGTTCACGACATATGAACTCTCTTCTTCGTCTTTCTTGCGGGGTTCTTCCCCTTTCCCTTGGTCTGTCACTAACTTCTTCTTTTCGGTATCCATGGAATTCTCGTCTTGGCCCAATTCACGTTTATTTTTGACTAAGTCTAACTGATATTCTTCGAAACTTTGTTGTCTTGTGTGATATGGCTCCGTTCCAGCAACTTCGTTTACCTTCTCTGGCGAGTTGGGCCCTTCATCAGGTGCGTCGAGCGTATCACTCGCATGCAGTTCAGGTAGAATCTCTCCTGCTTCTTCTTCAGCAAGCCAATCTTCCTCCGCGTAGGTAGCCAATTCTTTCAAGTCGAGCTCGCCTCTGAAACGTAAGATCGACACAGCGAAGTTTAGATCAAAAGCATCGTTTACGACATTGACGTATTCTTGCACCTCTTTCCTTCCTTGCTCTGTTTTACACAGTTTCTTCCAGTCCCGCTTAAAACCGAGGATCACCGTATTGGGTTTCATTTTTCCCAGGCCTACAGTCTGAAGCATGACGCGGACGCCCTCTTGGAAACTGGGTGCTAGAGAGAGATTGGATACAAATATTTTAAGATTAAAAATTACAGTTATCTACAGGGAAAGTGAAAACTTCCTTGCGAGCATAGAAACGCTCGTACTGAAGCGCTGATTTTAAGGGCCTGCTGGGCTGCAGGCTAAGATCGCCCTTATACGTTGTTTTACTCGAGTAACATAACTCTCAACAAAACATATATTCATGTGTGGCATTTGTACATTTAAAAAACTGAGATATTCTTCCCATCATGATCATAAAAGATTAAACAAAATACTGCCAAATTTAAAATGAACAAGTAAAGCCAGCTACAGTCAGTTTGCCTTCTCTCTTATTATAACTCCAAGCCAATTCTGATTGGTCTTTTTAATTACTTTAGCCCTCTTTCAGAATGTATTTTAAATTCAAGTCAGTTTACCTGTGCATATGGTATGGAATGCTCTTATCTTGGACTGCTTCAACCACGCATCCTCATAGCCAGAGACAGCACCAAAGTCACCAAGTTTAACTTGACCGCAAACCATTAATCCTCTGTTACGGGTGATATGCGACACCAAATGAACCAGATCCGGACGGGACGAGGGAGAACCAGTCAAAACCAGACATTGAGGACGGAAGTTCTTCACGTGATCTTCAACAGTGTTGAGACGGTTGGTGAAACGTAGTGCCCGGATGTAAGTATATGCCTGGGCAGACGAACCCCAGTTGACCTGTCAACGATTTGAAAATAAATTTGTAGTTTTGAAAAATGGCACTAAAAATTTCTTGTTTTAAAGGACCTTAAATTTCACTAAATACTCTTTCACTAAATACTCTTTCACGCTCAAAAATTTATTTCCTTTCAATCTTGCAATCTTTGTATTCCATGGAATCTTTCCATCTTCACCATAGGACGTTTCTGGTTTTTATTATTTACTATTAACTGTTGGTGACGTTTCAAAGTTTCATGGAATAATTCTTTTACATAAGCCTTGTGTATCACTGTTATCATTTATTAGAATGAATTCGTATAACCCGTTCCTTATAAGCTAATGAGTTTTTCACTAAATACTAACGAAAAGAACAATTAAGAACGGGTTGTGAACATTTATTGAATCAGCCAATGCTACAAAGGATACTGATTTTCGTCGGGTGGGTGACTGTAAATTCACAGAAATCGGCGAAAAGTCAAGTATATTCAAAAGCACTACACGTACGCGTGCACACCCATGACCTTTTGGCTCCACAGGGTGTTCTTGGCTCGTTCTTGGCCAAAAACGACTAGTTTTGAACATTCCAGTACATTCCAGCGTGCGTCTAATATTCTCGTGACCTGTTTGGGCACGCATGAGTGATTTAAGTGTTCACAACTTTTCTCAATTGTTCTTCTCATTAGCATTTAGTGACAAACTCAGTTACAGATAACGAACGGGTTATACGAATTCAATCTCACTATTTACTAAACAAGGACTTCTACCAACCTCGGGCTTTTTGTAATCCACATATTTGTACAAGGCAATGATGATAACAATTGTCAATAGAGCGGCCCACCAATTGATGAGGAACATGATCACTATACACACCATAGCCCCTACTAAGGACACCCACATGTTATAGTACTTAAAAGATGGTCTCCATCCGGGGGACTTGCCAAGCGATGCCGCAAACACTGCATAGTTGATTAGTGCATAGGACATGAGGAAGAAGTTGGAGATGACTGGGGCAATGATATTCAGTTCTCCAATTGCAATAAAGGCACCAGCAATAAGAAATGTGAGGATATATCCTCTGCGAGGCTCGTCTCCAGGCCCTACCTGTCAAGTGAAAATTCAAAGTTAAAGTGTAATCCTAATCACAATCAAAGACTGTTTCTTATGCTCTACTGCATTCTGTGATTGGTTCAGAAGTGATTATTCTTCTTTCACATTCATAACTACAAGACAACCAATGGATACATGATCCAATCTGTTTCAGGATGGTTACCCTTTCCACCTCAACATCAGCATGCATATTCTCCATACTGCTCTCAATACATTTCCTGAGCTGCCAACAAGGAGAATTTGAATGATAATCAAGGGATTTTAAGTTTGTGGTCATTTCCTTTATTCTCATGTAAGGAGAAATTAGATGCTGGTCACTGTTAAGGATCAAAGGTTTCAAAGTACTCCTATCTGCTTTGTGCAATGCAAAGAGGAATATTCATTGGCAGTATTGGCCCACAAAGCCCTCAAGACTTAAGAAGCAGAATTAGACCCCACTATTCCACACTCTGCAGCATATAAGAATAACGATAATCCATCCTCACCCCTGTACCAAAGTAATGTATCCCAGGGAAAATGTTGTCTTTACAAAGAGCTTGGAATGTTTTTGGTGCACCAACTAAGCTGGCCAATGCTGAAGACAGAGTTGCTGCAAAGATGCCCCCAGTAACTATTGGTCCCCAAGCTGAAATCTTTTCCATTACCTGTAAAAAGAATAATAATTTATTGTCAGAGGTTTAAACATCAAATACAAAGATCACAGCCAGTAACCAGCCAGAAGAGGATATGTGCAATTATACTATGAGCCCTCATACAATAATTTGCAACAATTTATTAGAAATAATGTTTTTTCCATCATTCCAAGACTGAAAATTACATCAAACCCAATGACTAAACCAAGAAACTGACTTTTAAATTTTCATTACTGGTAAATTCCCTTCTTATTTACGACTGCAGTAACATTGGTCAGTAAGAAAAGTTTACACTGTTTTTTTTTTTGTTTATCTGGGAGAATTCCTCTCACAAATTCTGGAAACATTGGACACAAATTTCAATCAGTCTGCATAGCTCCTAATGACTCTAAACTCAACAACCTTGGACTGCAGCAATGCATACTGACTTGTTTTGAATGTCTATGACATACCTGGAAATCGTTCATTAATCCATAAGGACAACTGAAGTCAACTGAACAATGCTGAGCTGGAGCACCAGTAGCATTCAATGTCTCGTTTACAACTGCTAGCACCACGCCTGACGCATCTCGTAACACGCAAGCAGCAGCCAACCAGTCCAGAAGGATATAAATAATAGTGCTGATCAATATAGCCCACAAAGTTCCCTTGGGAATAGCTTTCTGTGCATCTTTGAGGTCACCAGAGATGTTCACTCCAGCCAAGATACCAGTAGCTGCTGGGAAAAACACAGCAAACACAGAGAAGAAATTTTCACCTTCACGGTATGCGGGGCCAAAGTTTGTCTTAAAGAGGTTTAAGTCCAAACCAATGAATCCTTTTGCACGAGCTGTTTCATTTTGTGGCCCAATGGCAGTGCCAATTATGACATCAACAATTGAGACAACAAGGATGCAAAGGAGAAACATCTGAGTGCGCACAACCCACTCTAAGCCGACAAGAGTGACACATAGAAGTAGAATAACTGTGCCAATGCCTACAATGCGAATGATGTTCAGTTCCCCAATCAAATCCACATCACCACCATTCTCTTTAATTAAATCCTTAATGGTTTCAGCAAAACCAACAACATACAAAGCCACAGCTACAGCATTTGCCACAGAGAAAATCAATCCTATAGATCCGCCAAACTCTGGGCCAAGACTGCGTGATATCAAGTAGTATGCACCACCTGTTGATGAAAGCAAAAGGCATGGTTACTGATAAGTAAACTTAATTAATGAGAAGTTCATGAAAATATAAGCAGGATTTCACCAGTTACATGCCAAAACTGTTTCACTTGTTTTTGTTTATTAAAAGCACGATATAATGCTTTAAAAAATCAAATTACAAAAAAACACTCCACATTATAATAAAGTGCACAATAAATGACACCTCAAGATTCTTCACAAAGAGTGATGAAATTCAGAGATCAGATAAGATCCAAGATTTTCTGCAGTGCCATTCAGCACCCATTTCATTCCAGGTACATGTACATGTTGGCAGACATACCTCCTTTCACTTCACCATTAGTACACACAGCTGACATGGATAAGGTGGTAAACATCGTCACTACTGCAGATAACACAATGATGACGGTTGACCAAGCAATTCCAGCCTGACCTGCCACCCATGAGAGTCGCAAGTACAACATCACACCCCAGATGTTGAGAAGACATCGCAGCATGACACCTTTCAGCCATCCAAACTTGGGGGCCACCTTCACCTTTTTGTCTTTTTTGATTTGAATGCCTATATCATCAGTACCAACATCACCATTTTCAACTTCATCCACACTTTGATGTTCATCCTACAAAGACGGCCAAAGAGTAACCTTATATCAGATAATAAACTAAAAAATTAACTCACAACAGGTGTAGATACTGAGGAGCCAGAGATCTGAAATCAGGATTCAAAAGGTCCAGCACACAGAAGAGTATTGAGTAACAAGGGGTCCTTTATGCCCAGGTAAGCAGTGTTATTGCATCACATCAATGAAACAAATTTTCTCATTTTTCAGGAATTTTTTGGCTTTCGCTATAGACACAAGTACAGGTGTAAGCAGCCTAAGGCAATTTGAGGTATTTGTTATTAGACTTTTTACAATCTCAGGGTGTAATTGTATCTCTTGGGGCACATAAACTGGATATGTCAGAGTCCAACTAATCCCCTAGTGGTGCTAATGGGCCCTGTCCAGCCTCACAGTATTGGGTTTGTAGACAAGACAGTTAAACTCCCTTCCCAATGTCTGACTACTCACTCGGGAGGATAAAAGGGTAAAGACAAAAAGTATGGAACTCTCATAAGATAACAGAAGCAGGGGGGAAAGAGGGGCTGGAGATGAACAACAATGCACCGGTATCCCATCTAAAGGAGGGGGGGCATTTCTGTTGGTCAGATTCAAGTCTGCAATGACCAATACACATTAAATCCTTGTGAAAGACTTAATATTGACAGAGCAAATGTTTAAAAATGTCTTTTTCAAAAAGATGTTCAGTTCTGCCTTCAAAGGGGTAAAGGAGATTAGTGTCAAACGGATTAAACCAAGGAAAAGGCTGCATGTTTGCTGAGAGAGGATTAAGCTTGTAACATTACAATAAAAATAGGATGACACAGTCATAACATGTCAAACAGATTAGAAATAAAACTAACTGTATTAATATTCTGGAGAGAAATGTGTCGATTTTCAAATATACTCTTGACATGTAGTACTTCTAATTTATCACCCAACGTCTAAACACTGTTGCCCTGTTATGTTTTTCATAAGGAAAAAGATATACGGTGCGTTTTTAAACCGTGAGACATTAATAGAAAAATTGGCTCCGAGCACCTTCGTTCGGTTCTATTTTCTGAGTTGTGGGGATTACCGGAATAAATAAGACTACTGTTTAATTTCTTTTTTTTCTTGTTTAAGCGGAAACGTTTGACACAAATTTGATTCCATCGTGTGGTAGAGCACTCAGGGTCATTAAAGGTCTTATCGCCTCTAATTAAAACAACGACCATACTACAATAATTTCCACATAAATTTTTTTTTTTAAAAATTTGAGGACGAATAGAAACAGAAGAAAAGAATTGTCAAAAGATATTACCCTTATTGAGCAATTTTTATCGCTAGAAAGGTCGATAACCAATATAACAAGCTTCCTATTATTTAAAGATTGCTTATTAAGAGTTACATAACCATCGCGCGATTTAACAAACGTAATTCCCATGCAGACTTTAAGAGGCAATTTATCAGAAGTGTTATTCTTTCGATTTTCTGTCTCTCAATGGAATATTTTTTACGCGGCCAAAGAATTTGAAAGCTAAGCAAGTTTCGCAACCGTTGATAAATGTTTAATATCGTATATCATGAATAAACAAAAAAGTGATATAGCTACACTGCAGCCACAGAAATATCGCACAGCGATATTGATCTTGACAACGAATGAATGAGAAAGTATGAAGAACTATATTCAGCACGCTAATTGGGAAGACTTCCAAGTTTTTCTTTCGTGTGCTGCAAAATTTAAATAAAATGACAAAATAAAATAAAGCACATGTTTCATAGTAGTTTTTTCTACCCTAAATGAAACATCGCGACGAATAGAAAATGCAAATTCTGAAAAGAAATTTAACGTTCGTATTTTTAACACATCGCGCGCGAAATCTTCAAGAGTACAACCAGAAGAAGCCTCGTGCATGTCTGTGGAAAAATGCCTCAAGTTTCCGCTCCACTAAATACAAATTATCGCAAGATTGGTGGTGAAATAAATCACAGGAAATAGGCTGGATGTAAATTACCTGTTGCTCGTGGTCCTCTTCGAAACCTTTCCTCAATTCTTTCAGTGTTGGCCGCGACTTCTTAGCCGTATTCGACTGAGAGTTGTCGTTTCGATAGAACACAGTCATGGGGACAGCATCGTGAGTCGCGTAGCCGATTGTATTAGTCGCATCGAGAGAAGAGAGAGGTCGGTTTGGCGTCTCCGAATCAGGAAAAGTCATCCTTGGGCTCGAATCTCTTCCTTCGTCCGCATTTTCTTCAGGAAGATCTAACTTCACTTGGTTAACATTAAACCTCAAAGAGGGAGCATCGCTTGATGGTTCCGTCGACACTGGTTGTTCCTCCATCGGATTTTCGTGGTCCTCGCCTTGATCTCAACCTTCAGCGTTTTCCGCACTGAAAACTTACTCCCTTGAAGAAAAAAACATGAGCAAAACAAAACATCTTGTAACCAGCCGGCTAGTTGTATGCTGCAGCTCCAAAACAGAATTTTTTAACGCATGAACAAACCTGCAGGGAGGAGAGGGTAGGGCAATTATGTCGTATGACGACCTCTGACTTCAAATGCATGAATGCGGGTTTTTCCTGTTTGGTCAAGAATGTTTCTTGAACAATATATGGTTGCATACCAAGAAAACATGACGTAAAAACTGGTCGGTCGACACAACGAAAAATTTAATAATCTCGTTTTTAAGATGACTATTGGCACCTAGAAAAGATAAATTTGGAAGTGACATCTTTTGTAACATAAAATCTATCGCTTACGGTGGTCTTACTCACGGGAATCCCACGTGTAGTATATCGTGATATATTTGCTGAAGTGTTTGCTACCATGCTGAAACAAATAGTTTTCCTCTTTCCCCCCGATCAACAATTCCATTACTTCGGAAACCACAAAAAGTATATAGATAAACGTCTCTTTGCTAAAAGCTATTGAGTGGAAAACAGTTTCAGTTCTTCAAAAATAAAGTATCTCTCACCTGTATGAACTTAGACCCAACCAACCGCTAAATCACTGACGATGCCGCACGATGCACGAGACAGCCGCAGTGAGCTCGATTTTGTTCGATCTACATGGTCATGAACAAGATATTGGACACAGTTCCATTGTTACTAAGGCTTTGATAATGATTTTGTCTTGTTGAGTGGGCCCTTATCACACCATATATGTAATGAAAGTCAGTATTACGTCTTACGCTCAATCAACCAATACCTGTAAAATTGTAGCTGTCTCAGTTTGTGACGTTAAAACACGCAAGCTTAAAGGAAAATTTAAAAAATATCTTGAGGGATTTAAATCTCTTCGTGTCCAAGATTACTTCCCACAGTTGTTTGCAAGATATTTCAGGTTGTAAAACTTGGCCTGAGAGCTCTGGCCTGAGAGATAGTTAACTAGGTGACGTGGGCGTGCAAATCACGTGATCGATTTATCGACCTAAAAGCGTACTTGAAATTCTGATGAGAGGTTGAAAACAGTTATTTAAGTATTTGAATCATTAATAAACAAGGTTAACAGAAATTTAGCTGGGTTAGGGTCAAACTTAGATCCCTCTTAGCCCTTAGATGTTCAGAGTTCAGAGACGATTAAAAAATGTATTGTGAAACTACATGCATAAGTACGTGCGAATGTCCTGTAGAGCTGTCCGTCACACAATCTGATTTTAAACGGATTTGAGGGTTTATTTTTTTCAAGTACAAATTTAAAAAGAGTTACGGAATTTACTGAGGGAAATATAAAAGGGTTACGTAGTATTGATCACATTAATTAGCTTTAATTGATGCGAAAATTGTAAAAAATTGTTTTGCCGTGGTGATTTAAAAAATCCAAATCATGACAAACATTTAGAAGATAGATTTGTTCATGTTGTTGATTTTTGTTTGACGAAGTGTGTAATCTTTTCATCAACTATTAATGTCGGGGTTTTTAAATTCAAATTTCCAGAACATTATGAAATTAATTTTAACTTGTGTATATTGTCACCTGGATCACACTCAGTATCGGAGTGAAATATCGAACGAGGCCATTCGGGCGCCATATTATTAACCAAGAAGGATCAATGTACAACTGAAGTAATATTGAGTCCGTTTCTTAAGAGTTCAGAGTCCAAAATAAATTAAACCGGGAAATTAACATCGACAAATTCGAAGATAAACTGCGGTGTCTGTAAATGTCGTAAATGGATTTACGCCTAATCATGCGATCTAAAAATACACTATTAACCTCTCCAATGCATTAAAAAGTCGCCAAAGATATAGAGTGTCTGATCGACTAGGGTTATGTAAGTACATCCGTTTGGTGGCTTAAGCGTTTTAATTTACCTCAGTCACAATTGCCAGCTGAATAACAAAATAGTTTCGATGACGTCACAGCCGGCTTCTTGATATTGTCACGAAACACTTACCCCACTGATCGGTGAGGAGAGGGGATGGGAGGGCTGGGTACTTGCTTGATTAACAAACCAAGACATTTGCAGCAGAGAGCACGCGGCAAACAAAATATCTCATCGGCAGAATAATGGTCCTGCACGTGCAACCTGAAACTTTGTACCTTTCGTAACCGTTTTCCACAAACAACGTAAAATCACTTCTTGTATGTTTATGCAACAAAGCTAGCCCTGCTTCAGTTTTTCCCCTTTACTTATTTCCAGTTGCAATTGAAACCGTACGTCGCATATCAGATATTCAGAATTAAATTTCGTCGCCGCATAATTAAATAGCTAAACAGCTACACTTCAATTACTTCACGCAATTCCGTTAAGTCTCTCCTGTGCCTAGGTACAATTATATTACCGCGTGGAAACTGGGGGCTAGGAAATTTCGACAGTTGATGTATGGTGAAGTATTTCATTTTTTTTTTTTTTACCTATTTTCATTTTTTCCTCATATCTCACATTAGATAACATGATTGAACATGAGTGAATTTCCAATTTCCAATATTAGGTATCACAGTCGGGTACCCGAAAGACTAGAAATAATATATATCTAGAAGAGGAAAATAAGAAAACGCGCCACGTAATACATTTTTTAAAATTTTTATTCGATGAAGATCCGCGTTACCCGTTCATCAATCTAGTAAGTTAGATCTTATTTTCTTTCTTAGAGGCAAAGCTCCAAACGTGTGATCTCTAACGGACACATCGGTTGAGGGAATCTGCTGGCAAAAACGAGTGCAGGCAAAAACTGAGTATGTTATGAGGCTGTTTGGAAATGCATGTGCTCACCACAGCAGACATCTATGATACTAGTCGGAACTTTGCAGCGGAGAATAAGGAAACAAACATCAATCTATCAAAAATGAATTTTTTTTTCTTGACAGCAGAGTATACACGTTTTCATTTACAGATTAAAACTCTTCTTCTTCGGCTTCTTCCAATCCAGTTGGGGTATCCAAGCTAACTTCCTCATAATCCTTCTCTAAGGCAGCCAAATCTTCGCGAGCCTCAGAGAACTCTCCTTCCTCCATACCCTCACCCACATACCAGTGGACAAACGCACGCTTGGCGTACATCAGATCAAACTTGTGATCCAGACGGCCCCAGGCCTCCGCGATAGCTGTGGTGTTACTCAACATGCACACAGCCCGCTGAACCTTGGCCAGGTCACCACCAGGGACAACTGTGGGAGGCTGGTAGTTGATTCCAACCTGTTTCCACCACAATAAGGAAATTGTTAATGGGATAAAAAGCCTTCTCTTTTGTAATTGAAAAAAAAAAATGGTATATTAGTAGAAAAATTAATAATTTCTACCCAAAATTTTCTGATCTGAAAATCACGCGTCTCCTATCTTTACTGAAATCCGAATGTAGTTGATTAAGAAATTGCGGTAAGTCTCCAACCAAGTGGCCGTATTTGGACATCAGCCTCACAGGCCATTTCCGAATTACCTTTGGCCTCTTTCTCAAAACGAGGCCTAATGCTCAACCATTCTAATGAAAATGAGTTTAATTTATATGTGAACGGAAACTTTTAATCATGAATGAACACCCTCTACTAACTATGCTTTGAAAAAGAGGCCAAAGATAATTTAGAAATGATCTATTCCTATGCGCGTTCGGTCAGGTCAAATCTTGACCTCACAATCAAGGCGAACATTCGCGCAATTTGTACTCCCAACTTAGTAAGATCTGTAACACTGACGAATTTTACTATAAGCGCGCATCATCTCCAAGCTTCAAGGAGCGTATAGCAACATAAGCCATATTTATTCCTCGCACATCATTTTGGATGACTTCAATTTGAAAATATTTAGTTGCGATTGTGTTACCAGCACCTTGGCAAAAGTAAGTGTAATTTCTTTGAAAGATAACATAGATCTTACCTTGAATCCCGTGGGACACCAGTCCACAAACTGAATCGTGCGCTTTGTCTTGATGCTCGCAATAGCCGCGTTTACATCCTTAGGGACTACATCGCCGCGAAACAGCAAACAACAAGCCATGTACTTGCCGAGACGAGGATCACATTTCACCATCTGATTGGCTGATTCAAAGCAGGCACTTGTGATCTCAGCAACGCTAAGTTGCTCGTGATACGCCTTCTCTGAAGAAATGACTGGAGCATAGGTTGCGAGGGGAAAATGGATCCGAGGATATGGCACTAAATTAGTCTAGAGAGAAAGGATGAAAATGGAAAGTAAAAAAACTGAATGCAGAAATAAATTAATACATAAATAGATGAGTGGATTGATAAATTCCCTGTACTGAGTTCAATCATCGTATTTTCTATGAAACGAGTGTTGCCGGCGGATCCAAATCGCCTCATGCAAATAGTATAAGAATATCCTTTGGGTCACCGTACTTTACGACTTGAACCATAGTTAATAGAGGGGACCTCTATTAACTATGCTTGAACAACGTAATATATAATCCAGCTAGATGAAATGTTTTGACTTTACAAGTGCATTTTACTTCGCACTCGGTGAATTGGCCGATTATCTCTAGCTTACTTCCTCAAATTTGTCTTACGATTCGTTATAAATGCTCGAAATGCACCTTACCGACCTGAAATTCATTTAGATCCACATTCAATGCACCTTCAAAGCGAAGTGAGGCAGTGATTGAGGACACTATCTGACCAATCAGACGGTTCAGATTGGAGTACGTTGGCCGCTCGATGTCGAGGTTCCGACGACAAATGTCATAAATAGCCTCGTTATCAACCATAAACGCGCAGTCTGTGTGTTCTAGGGAAGTGTGAGTGGTGAGAATGGCGTTATAGGGCTCAACTACGGCTGTGGATACTTGAGGAGCTGGATAGATACAAAATTGCAGCTTTGATTTCTTGCCGTATTCGACAGAAAGGCGCTCCATGAGAAGGGAGGTAAAACCAGATCCTGTACCTCCCCCAAAGGAGTGAAAGACTAAGAAACCCTGTAGACCACTGCATTGATCGGCCTGAAAAAACCGAGAAGAGAAGTTAAAGAAAAAAATACAATAACATCAACCCGGATTAACAAAGGTATTGGCCTATCTAAAGCAGGGGGGAGGGGGTGGGGAAATAAGGATTATTTTTTAGTGGTAGGGATGGTAAATCCTTAGATATCAAAAGTGCTACAATAGGAAAAGATTGGCCTTTACTTTTTATCACCGAATTGATAAAAAGTTGTTTTACCTTCAACCTTTTTTTATTTTCTTATTCTTTCCGAGATTTGTCTCTCTGTTTTCAAAATTTATTCAAACTGTGTAGATTAAATTTCACTCGAATAACCTCTCGGCGAAGTAACGTCGCTAAAAAAGGGAAATTAATATAAAGAGGCATATTTACGCGATTTCTACAAGAAAATCAGATATCATAACAAAATATTCATGTACCAATGTCCTGGTTTTATCTAATACTTGATCGACATGCTCTTTGCCGACTGTGTAATGACCTCGCGCATAGTTATTGGCGGCATCTTCTTTCCCTGTGAAGAGTTGTTCAGGATTGAAAAGCTGACGGTATGTGCCCGTACGAATCTCATCTGTAAAGGGAGTGAAACGAGATGGACGTGGTTGTTAATAAAAGGTGCTATATACGCCAAGATTGCACGAGGAGTTTGTTTTAACATGAAAAATAAACTCAAACTCGAAGGAAGCCGCGAAATAAATTAGTTTTCAAAAACATTAAAAGGATAACCCGGGTAAGAGCTAGGAAGACTGATTAAGTATTGAGAAAACTTGCGCGAATTCAGTGCAAACTGCCAACTTTCAAAAGGTTAGATTTTTAGAGCTTCACGGTAATCTGGCGATGTTACAATAAGGAGAGCGTGGAGAGAGGGAGAGAGAAAAAAGATTTATCAATCTTAATTAAACTATGTTTACCTTATGTGATAAAGATATAGATTCATCTCCAAGCGTGATAATAGATACGGCACTCAGCTCATTTTTGAGCCGTTAAGAGTAACCTCGTTCCGATGCAATGGCCTGTTCCTTTACTTTCCCCGAAGTAAGGAAAAAGGACATGGGAACGAGGTTGCGTGAAGTGGAGTCTTCCCATTCTCAGAATAATGAAATAAGGAAATGAAGAGACCAGAGTAATATGGATGGCAGATGAGGTACAAAAGTCAAAATAAAGGAGGTGAACAGAAGTAAACAGATACCGACAAAATGAAATGGACGTGTGTACAACTAAACGGAAAAGTATATGTGCACGATCCTTCGCAGTAAAGCACTATTTGAGCAATAGTGAAAATCAGACCTGAAAAAAATGTTTTGACAATGTTTTGCGAGTCTGTTTGTTTCTTAAAACTCAAAACGTTCTGAAACTTGCCCTAAGGAACCTAACCTTGGGAGGAAATATGTCTTACTATGGCACGGATTAATAATGCATAGATGCTTTATCACGTGATGCAATTTTCTCCTTTGGAAATGAATCTTAAACAAAAGGACTAATTTTGAGGAAATCATTTCTTTTATAGATGTAATTAATATGACTTTTAATTAAAATTTAAAATATCGTGCTGTTTGGATTTTATTCGAAAAGAAATTAATTACTCTTTTTCACAGCTTCACAAAGAAATCTAGAAGGTTCAATATAAACACAAAACTTGTGTACACACCTATGTTGGCAATCTTTCGTATGCAAAACCAGTTTTGAATAAATCGATTTTTTTATAGTAAACATAATTAAGAATTTTGATTGGAAATGTAAACTTGTTCGAATAATGAACTTTTTTAATAAACTTTTAAGAAAGTCCCTCGCTTACGTCCTCGTGACCCATTGTTCCAAAAATAGCTCTGTTTACTGAGCTAATGGTTCACAGGTTGCAAACTTTGCGAACTGTAGCTGAAGGAAGGTGTTGCCAAATAATCACTCCCAAAATGCTAATGAAACCCAGAGAACCTTTATTAAATTAAGCAAAAACAACGCATTACGCAAAACCTTGTCGATAGTGACGAGTATCGTGTAAAGTTACTAATCCTTTCTTGAGTAAACACGTGAGGCCGACTGGGAAATCGTTTTTCTAAAAATTAAAAAAAAAAAATTAAAAAAAAATTAAAATTAAAAAAAAAAAATTAAAAAAAAAAATTATTGTAACTGAACATGAACCATCTTTTTACACTTGGGTAAAATCAGGCGCAAGAGGTACTAAACAGCGTTTGGGTAACTGTTTCCTGGCAGAAACTGGCCTTTAATCAGTGAACTATCAAAAAGAAAAAGAAAAGAAACAAAAGTAAACTTCTTCACTATATAGCTAGTCGAAACTGTGAGAAATAATTTTGAGAGCAGCTGTGAGAAATAATTTTGTTGATTATTTCAAAAAATAAATTATTTCAAAAGTTATTAAATTGATTTATTTAAAATTAAATTATTTAAAAAAATAAGGCCGAGTGAATAATGTTCTTGTATAATTTAGTTCCATTTGCAGGATAAAAGTCATTTTCAAAATAAGGCTTTGGGTATCGCGGAAATGGCCCATCAGAATCAACCTCAAGACAAGCTCGTATATAATAACAGTTTTCTTTACAGTAAGGGAGCACTGCAGTGTTTCAAGCCATGACTGTTTTGGTAATTATGGCGAGTAGGGAAAAATTAGGGGACTAACTTTGCGGCAGAAGGCGCAAATTTAGCGACCTGCGTTTGGCAGTCACAGAGCAAGGAAAACCGTTCCTGTCATATTATTACGGTCTATCCCTTTACCTCCAAAGGGTGACAAAGAAAGAATTTCCCTTTCAAATACCGATACAATACCAGGCTGACAAGCAATGAGACTAAAGAAAACTTGATCCGACACCAAATTATCTGAAGTAACATCAAAGGAATTGTATCGCAAAAGGTAGGAAGAATTACTTAAAGAACTCGGGGAGTAAAAATCAACGATGCAGTAATGTGTTACATGGGAATGGTACCAATTAATGAATGGAACCAGGGCTGCAGCATAATATGCAGAGGGGGATCAAGCGAGAGCCTTCATTGCTGAAATAAATTTTAATTGCAAAGAAAATTACAAGTACGTCTTTGAAGCAAACGTTTCGGAAGAAACTCTCCTTTGGTCATACTTTTCCATTCCATTCCGATTGGTTTCAAGTTTCAGTAATTTTTTGAAAAGCTATTCGTTCGTGTAATATCTTATTTCGCAGGCAGCGGTTCGCATTGTGGTAGCTCTTCTTTTATCGCCTTCAACCGCTGGACAATGTTCGCAGACGTTTCGTCGTTAGGATCTACAGCAAAATCCATCACGAACGAAATGGGGTCTACGCTATTAATGTTTCCCTCGTATGAGGCGAAAATGATATATTCCGATCCGGGTTTGAACTCCATTGGACAGCCATACATGTCTCTGATGGTAAAACTGGAAGATAAACAGGAGAAAGGCTGAAATATGACTATGATAAAAAGCATCGGACGTCAAATTTATCTGTGACATTCTAGATATAATAGTGGTTTTAGGTACCAATCATTATTTATGGGGGGGGGGGGAAGGGGGTTCGAGGGATTTTGGAAGGGATTAAATGGTTGTCAAGAAGAACGGAGGAGGGATCAGTTGTTGCTAACAGAGTATAAAAGGGGGGAGTGTAGAAAATTGACTGACAATGGGGGAGGGGGGGACATAAGAACACCACATAGCCTTGTAGGGGATTCAGGTAAATTTCACTGTGACACAACCTAAATCATCCCATCTTATCCCATCCCACCCCCTCCTGGCGAAAAATATTGACCGGGCCCTTATGTCCAGTCGCGCTTGAGACTTGTGAAGCAGGTGGCAACTGTAACTGATTTGGCGTTCTTTGTTCCCAACTAATCGATTGGAGAGTCCATGCCTTGACGCTTTTAACTTAGAGAAGCCGACAAGAAATTTGCCATCAGCAACAGGATAAGAGGACTCAACTTCAAGGCGAGAGAGGAATTTAAAGAGAGTAAATCTTTCTTTAAAGTTTTTAATGTCAGTAACTCACTCGTGCTTTATGGAGATTTCTTCGTCCGGCGAAACAACCATAGGCTCGTCTTGTCTGAGGATTTCCAATATTTTCACGTTCACCTCCAATATAAACAGGCTCTGGGAAGAAATTACTCTGGCGACTAAGGGGGTAAAAAGAAAAATTTAAAGATGTGGGCAAGGGTAACTAAGGTTTCCCGTTCCAGATCTTATACAACTGAGTTTTAAAAAAGCACCTGAGCCGCTCGTTTAGAACGTTACACCTGCTGACAAAAGTTGGTAGGCCAATCTTCTTTACGTGAATTCGTCAACCGGTAAGGTTTGGACCAGTCAGTGGAATGAAGTTTGTTTTCTGGTCAAACGCGAAATTTCATTTAGTCTCGTCATCTCTTATCGCATCGAACTTCTTCTCACAGTTAGGAGCAGATGTCGCCCACTGGCTGTAACCCATCGACCGTAATTAAATAGGTACCCCTCAGAAAAGTTTTACAAATAATGCTTCAAACGCAGACCACGACCAAGAAGGAAGCCAAACGTAATTTCATGAAACAACAACAACAACACAATATCGATTAGTGTACATACCAAGATTGCTGCCACACATCATTTCATCCAGATTGTCCTCTGTTTCATCTATGAAATATTAAGATCATTGTTTGAATTACGAGGACAAAACTGGCCGAGGCTGAATTAGAACCTGCCATTTCCCAGCTCCTTAGCAGCCGTTGCGTTTGGAGCTCGCCATGCATCACGCTTCTTCTTAGACAGTGGAGGAAGGAGCGTGGGGCGAGCGCTAATAGGAAGAAGCAAAGTCAACCTTGAAATATCATTCTCCTGATTGGTCCCCAGTCGTCTTCAAACAACTTCATAGAGCGCACGGCACGGGGCGAGGTGGGAACGCAGGGTGAGATGGGTAGGGAGAAAGCGAGAGAGGAAAACTTCTCTTCCCCTTCCCATTATCCCTTGCTCCCTTGCCATGTGTGGTATGAAGACAACTAGGGACGAGTCGGAGCATTCCCTTAATCCTTTGCGGACACGTGGTGTGTCCTCTTGGAACGACATCGTTTTGATATGGTTGTGCTTCGGGCTTTGCAATAAGCTATTACTGTTTCCGGTTTTGAATACCTCGGTCTGTAGTCCTGATGTTGACTTGGAAACCGGAAGCTACTCTATTGGGAGGAATACCAGAGTTCAGAACAATCTGCATACAAGTGGAATTACAATGAGACACAAAGGAGCCAGGAGACACCTTGGAACCACAGTATGTCCTCCATGGAAATTGCTGCCGATCACATTCTGGGGGCAAAAATATTGAATATATCTTAGAGCCCATTCAAACTTTGACGGATTCATTTAAAATTCAACTTTGTTCCTTGAGAGAAGTCAGGTGTCCACACTGAATTTGGTAAATCGTCCGGCGAAAACAGTGCTTCTCGAAAACTCTCTTGAAACATATGTATGAACTGCGGTTATGAACCGTATATGTGCACGATCCTTCGCAGTAAAGCACAAGAAAAGAAGAAGAAAAGAAAAGTGAGATACTACATACATACATACATACATACATACATACATACGTACATACATACATACATACATACATTTATTTGGTAAAGCAGGTTAAGTTAATACAATCGCAGCAAAAAGCTGATGCGGACTGCCTTTGTTTTTTAACTCAGTGAGTTTAATATGAGTGGAAATAAAGCACAAATGAATGCCATGAAAGGATAATGTGTTGAGTATGTTATATCCTGCCAGACCATCCGAGTGATCAGGCGCATCCATTATCGATCTTTAAAAGCGTTTAGCTTTGAGAACTCCTACAAGCCGCCGCCAACCTGTCTGTCGTCATTATGCACTTGTGTGACAACATGCCACTTAATGCAAAATTCATATATCAACAGTAACCCCCAAAAATGAATTGCTCTTAACTTATACTCTCAATTATGCATGCATTAGCACGCGTGCCCGTTAACCGTCGAAGGTGTGCTTTTCATGGATAGTCATTGTTAATTTCTTATTGTTCTCGATTTGGCTTTAAACCTAGTCATGACCTCAAGGGCTTTCAGTTGGCGTCGAAGGTTGTCTCACTGTGAGTTGCTTCTGTTATCCTGAGACATTTTGTTTCTGTTTGTTAGGCCGTTTTTTAACTCTCTGTCCCTCACTTGCACAATAAGGCTAATCGTAAAACCTATCTTTTGAAAATGAGTTTTATTAGCATGATAGAGATATTTTTTCTCATTAAAGTCTTTGTGTTTTAAATACTCTTTTTTTAAGCAGAGGTTTCAGGCTTCCCTGAAATTGCCTTTTGACTTATGAGTGTAAAATTCTTAATTGAAGGTTCTGTTTCCTGGGAAACGCACGCCATTCGGACATTTTTCATAAAGACATGTACCACTCTATAATTCGGTATGATTTTCAAGGTATGTACGAGAATCGATCTGACCCGGGTTTGCTTGCAGTTAAAAATTGTGCTATAAGGAATAAGGCGCGATTCAGCTAAAAGTGGTGGCTTTAAATTGCCGTGATAACTCACAAATTGCCTCTGATTACCATAGATATGATATTTTAATGTTAAATAGGGCTAAGTCACACGATCGTCTTTTCCTTCCCGGTAAAAATTTGAATAAAGGAAAGAATAACATTTTAGTAGGATCTTGTAAACAACTTTTGAATCCTGAACCCAAAATACGTCAGAATTCTCGATAAAAGCAAGCATCGAAATAATTGTTTGATGACACGAAAACGAAATCATAAATATTTACATCCCAACTTCAGATGCACTTTATAACAGAGAACTTGGCAGGCTTTCATCTAAAGGGCGCCATAAATCTGAACATTGCATGATAGATGCACCATCGAGAGAATACTTTTTTGTCATAAAAAATATAAATATAAGGTCGTCTTTGTAGGAGGCTCCATACCTGTTAAATTACGTTTTAAGTGAGAAAATTTAAATTTAAATATTTGGTTTCAGATATTGATTGTGAAGAAAGTGAAATATAATTTGTTAGGAAGCGCTTAAGGGAAAGTTTGACGCACCAACTACAGTAGGCTCCAGATCAATAAATATTGCCCTTGGGACGTGGTTTCCTGATCCAGTTTCGCTGAAAAACGAATTAAATGAATCGTCTCCTCCCCCAATAGTCTGATCACTTGGCATCAGTCCATCGGGCTGGATCCCGTGCTCCAAGCAGTACAGCTCCCAGCAAGCGTTCCCCATCTGACATCCAGCCTGACCGATATGAATAGAAATGCATTCACGCTGAAATGAAAGAGCATGATGATGTGAGAATAAAACTAAGAACTGGTATAGGATTGTACTTTCGATACTGCAAGTGCAGAAATCAGGGGTGGATACACCTTCCAGTGTAATATGTTTCGAACGGGATGTTGTATCATTTCTCCTTCAAATCAGGCGTTTTTGCATTTTGCTCGTCCTTACAAACTTAGCGCCTGGATCAGGCTACACTTTTTTAAACATTATCCTCTACTACGATGTCTACTGCTAAAAATTTGTTATAAAGAAACTCTTAATTCACTGCGCTTTCTAGACTTTGTTGATCTAAAGAAAATTGTACTCCTGACGAACCAGAACTTATCAAACAAAAAAGCGGTAAAAAAAAAGGAACATACCATATTGAAGATGTACCTTTGCGCTGCTTAACCTTTGAATTGAACTCTCAGAGAGATATGCCACAACTTCCCTTCAGTTCGTTTCAGCTCTTTTTAAAAGCGTTTGGAATAGCCTGTGGATATTATTTCGCATTAGTAGGAATATAGAATGAAAATTAAACTGATTTAGCCAATCACAGAACAGAAAGAAATGCGACTTCCCATTTCTGATTGAATTTTTCGACGTGTAGATACGTGCGGTGGCATGGTTCAAGTGACCAGTGGCAGCAGCTAGAGCATCATTAATGATATGTAATCACTCAGGAAGAAAATTCATTTTTCATCTGAGTGAAAAGTGAACGTCTGAGACATTTTATGGAGTTTACATGACGACATTTCATTCTACCAGGCCTCGAGAGTGGGGAATCACCAAAGATGGCGGCCGCTGCGAACCTTCTTGTTGGTCGTTTAGCCTTAGTTACTGGTAAGATTAATCACTATGTTCAGCCTTTTTAATGGTATATGGGCTATAGAAATACTAACGAAAAGAAGGATGCATTTGAAGGGATTGGGAGAGCTTGACTTTTAGACTTTCATGTTCTTACCTCTACGCTCTCCGTCGGAAAACTGATCGCTAATCAAAATGTACGTGATTACAAGAAGAACCAATCCAGGAAAACAGAAAATGTTTGAAGAAATTGCATAGCGAAGTAAGACACAAACACACGCACACTAAGGAAAACGTTTAACAAAGTACAGTCATAAGGGGAAGGAGAAGAAAGCCCAAGGTAAAATTAAAGATCAAAAAGTCATATTAAAGATGAAACAATTTTTAGTGTAATAGAAAAAATCCGAGTACCATCTGGGGCTCGGATTTTTTCTAAAAGTCATATTAGTGATAAAAAGTCATCAGTGATTTTGATCAATATGCTAGGTGGTGGTAGTGGCATTGGTCGAGCAGTTTGCCAAGCTTTAGCCGCAGAAGGAGCAAGTATTGTTGTTACAGATCTAAACAGTCAAGGAGCACAGGACACTACCGACAACCTTTCAAAACATGCAGACAACAAACACATGAACTACTCTTTGGATGTTTCAAGCGGAGAGGAGGTACAAAAAGTGCTTGAGTGCATCGTCAGTGAGTTTAAGAAGCCGCCGTGTATCTTAGTCAACTCAGCTGGGATCACAAAAGATGAATTCTTGATAAAGATGGATGAAAAAAAGTTTGACAAAGTTATTGAAGTGAATCTCAAGGTAAGAATGAATGATATTTTTTATCAGTAAAAGTTAAAAAAACACCAGATGCAGGAGTATTAGGAGTGACCTTTAACTCCCACGATCTGATTATGAATTCTCCCCTCTAGCTGCTACACATTTGTAAAGGGTTACGAGAATTTGGTGTTCAATCAAGGTAACAACTTCTACCTGATAAGTTTGAGTTTTCTCGTTACCTGTTTGCTGGATCTTGTATGGATATTATAGGGAGAAGTTACAGGTTAATCACCTCTGGGAGTTAAAGGGTCAAGTGTTATTGACCAGGATGAATAACTACAACCTAGTTTACGATATTAGTAGTATGTTATGGGTAATTGTATCTAAGGAATAATTAGTACTGACTTATGTTTTTTGTATTTCTTTAATCCAGGGAACATTTCTTGTCACACAAGCAGTAGCTAAACTAATGGTCAGTCAAAGAGTTATGAATGGATCAATTGTAAATCTTGCCAGCATATCAGGAAAGGTATATTTTATTTACAAAACCAGTCAATTACTGTGCTCTGATCAAAGCTATAAATAAGTATCAGGGTATCAGGATGAGAATCCTGGAAAAGTACAGGATGATTTTCAGTTTATTATCAACTAAAGCTTTTAGTTTCAAACACCACATTAAAAAATGTTGGCAATCCAGAGTATCTATCTTGTGAGAATCATGGCCATTTAAGCTTGTGTAGCCATTTTAATGCAGAGAGACATACATTGAGTGACAGTTCTTTTTTTTTTCTAAGTACATTAAAGATTTGAATGAGCAGAAGACATAAAATATGAATTAAACAAGATGCCTGGAGGCATCAAGGAGGGATGTGTTGGTTATTATCTGCTGTCACTTTGATTGTACATTTGAAAATGATAAATTTAATGCAGACTCTTCAAAGTACAAGAACAAAATTGTAAATTAAAGACATAAAAAGAAAAGGTTAACATACAGCAGGGTATTATATGCAGTCACCCATCTAAGTTGTAATGACAACTTAGATGGGTGACACAACCCACAATTCCTCTATTTGCTCCGATGAAGGGCTAACGCTCAAAAACGTCAGCTTTTATAATCATAACGGTGGCCAATTTACCATTTCAACTTTGTTGATTTATTCAAATTATTAAGTTGTAATGACTTTGATGATACTCAAGCAAATTTCTAAATTGATCTGCCACAGCCATCTCAGGTAAAAAAGCAAAGGATGCAATCTTGTTTGATTGTGAGAAACCTTAGGCTGCTTTACTTCCAAGTAATGTATTATTTGCTCATTTCATTCAAACATGACAAAAACATAGGCAATTTTTTGGTCAGAAGTTCTTTTCAGACTAATGACCAACCAGGCACTTTTAAATACACTCATGCACAATGCAAAACGTGTGCTTTCATTCACAACACTGATAAAATATCGGGACCTAAATGATCCATTAAGATCACTGATCACTTCACGTGCACCTCTGCCAATGTAATCTATTGCATAACTTGCACTTATTGCAAAAAGATATACATCGACGAAACAGGCAGAAGACTAGGTGACCGATTCCGAGAACACCTTCGAAACGTGGAAAGGAATGACTAGGACACATCGAAACCAGTCGCTAGAATTTTCATTTACCTAATCATTCTAAGCAACATATGGCAATCTGCGGTCTTTCCTTACACTTAGGTAGCACGGAAAGCCGTAAAAATCTTGAACAAAAGCTCATCTTTCAAACTGGCAGTCTAAATCCCTCAGGGATCAATGAACGCTTTTCATTCTACTAATTTATTCTTGTTTTTCTCGTTGCCATGTTCCCACCAATAACGTAGTTCCATTTCCTGCCTTTAAAAGCACACACAACCCACAATTCCTCTATTTGCTCAGACAAAGGGCTAACGCTCGAAACGTCAGCTTTTGTAATCGTTACGGTGGCCAATTTACCACTTCAACTTTGTTGATATATCCAAATTATTTCGTTACTCCCACCGACGCAGCCCCAAACAGTTTCTTTCGAAACTATCAGCCTTTATTCTAATGTATTATTCTGTTGTCTACATACCAGATGGGAAATCTTGGTCAAGTAAACTATGCTGCTTCCAAAGCTGGCGTTGAAGGTTTGACAAGGACCTGTGCAAGGGAGCTGGCAAGGTAGTTGTGTTTGTGTGACATGAATTTCTGCAAGAGAGAGATTTGAAGACTAAGTTGGTTAAGTTTTTTGCCCAGATCTCTTCATAGCCATTTTCTGGGCTTATTGTGCAACATGTTCTCTGTGGGGGAAGGCATGAGGTAACGTATGTGAGACAGTAGTAAGCAACAGCTGTAAAGGAGACTGGACTACAGAAGTCCAGGTTTTAGTTCTGGGTGGGTCATTGTGCCCTCAGGCAAGGTACTTTGTCCTCACTGTTCCTTTTTTCCAATGTTATGCATGGGTACAGGGAACAGAGAATCAGAGAAATTTGCTGGAGGGTGGTGACCTGGGGTACACATACTTTCCATGAGGTGCATGAACACTTTCACTCTCTTTACGCTACAGAAACTAGGGTGAGTTCAGATAGGTATGGGCCATCAGACTGCAGTTGTTTGAAAGGTGGATAACACTACTGGATAAATCTCTATCTGTTGGATAGTGCAGTATGTTTTGTTAACACCAGGATTTGTATGGGTCCTAGAAAATCTGGAAAGTCCTGGAATTTTATTTTGACATTTTCCAGGACTGGAAAGTCCTGGAATTTTATTTTGACATTTTCCAGGATTGGAGAGTCCTGGAAATTTGCTTAAATCAAGCAATAAAGTGTTCAGAATTTATGTAACTTATAAGAATTGTGTAAAGACTGCAAGGAGGAGAATTGAGTTTGAAGTCTTGGGAATGAAAGAGATGAAGGTCAAATTTGGAGCCATGGAAAAATCAATCAGAGCCTGGAAAAGTCCTTGAATTTTTTTTCTGAGAAAGGGTAGAAACCCTGTAACACTTATCCACTGGCTAGAGAATTATCTGTCAAATAGTGTTGTCCAAACTCTGAACAACTGGGCCCAGGTGTGTGGAATAGAAGCTTGATATACTGGTTGAACCCTAACCTTTACACTCTGAGTATTGTTAGCAGCCACTTTGATTTTGTGACGGCAGATTTGGTGTTAGATGTAATGCAATTCTGCCTGGCTTCATTAAAACCCCAATGACAGATGCTGTCCCGGAAAAAGTTCTTGAACAGGTAAGAAAACAGAAACATAAACATTTAAAACAATGCAACCACTAATCACTCAACGTTTTCCAACTTACTTTCTGGGAACTCTGTATTTCTTTCCCTAATAGTAGGGTTAACACTTTTCTTGATATGTACCTTAAATCCTAAAGATGATGTGATTAGGACCAATTTCCACTTTATTATGTAGATCTTGCAATAAGAACATGATTGCTAGTGAGGCAGATCTGTCCCACATGCTTAGCTCGTCTTGAGCTCTCTCTCTCTTGCTTGTGCACTTGAATTCACGCTTGGGTTTGCCTGTTGAATTGCCCATCCAAACAATAAATTTGCTATATGTATGTTGGTGTTTGTGTTTTGATAGGTAAAGAAACAGATCCCTCTTGGGCGATTTGGACAACCATCAGGTAAGATCTCGAATGAAAACAGGCATGAAGATTCAGAAGATGCTCTTTTAGCCTGCCTCACATATTCTGTAAGTAAAAAACAAAGTGCGATATTAGCGAGGAGTTAAACAAAACGAGGAGGGTTGGGCCGAGACTCGACCCAAATGTCCTTTGTTTTCACTCTGCCACTATTTCCACTTTACTAATTCGTACGGATTTCGCACCTATTTACTTGCCAAACACTTTAAACAGTTAAATGTTCTTTGTGCAACAAAAACTTCTTGTAATGAGGAAGAGACCGATTACGAGTTAAACCTACACAGGTTAACGTTCAAACTTATGATTTAATGTCAGTTTTCAATCATTTATGTCGGTTTTTGTAAAGGTCAAGTGGACTTTTTTCTTCTAGAAGATATTTTTTTGATGTTACGCTGCATAATACTAACTTTGCTAATTTACACTTTTTTAGACATCGCTGATGTGGTAACATTCCTCGCTTCTGACAGAAGTAGTTACATTACGGGAGCAAGCATTGAAGTTGCAGGTAATTCTTCCCTGTAAAATGATTTGTCATTGACCTATCCAAAGTAAACACATCAAAAGTGAAAAGAAAAATTTGGGAACGCAATCTTTCAAAAAAGAAAAAAAAAGTGGGTTCGAAATATACTCAGGTATACTACTTAGCCGTTTTGAGAGGTTTATGATGACCAATGTTTTGATAATGTATCGCGCATTATTACGGACAAGATATCCCTTGCTTACATGTACATGTATGTAATCAGTAATTACTGTTATATTAAACTCTACCTGAAGAACATTTTTTATCGTTTTGTCTTCTCTTAGGTGGCCTTGCTATGTAATTACATGCAGTTTGCCGTTAGACGGCTTCTCAAGACTGGGCGTATGACATAAAGATAGATCAGTTGAAGGAAATTTCACACTGATAATTTATACTTGTAATGCAATTGATAACTATATGATTACATTTAAAACTTTTAAGTTGTTACTATGATAATCCTTTATTTAAAAAAATTGTTTTTCTGCGTGGACAGCGGGTTGAAGGGTAAATTTTATTCAATAAAACGGAATGTTGGTTTGTAAAAAGTTCCAACCATCGATAAGGTGGTTGGAAAAATTGGCAGCCTACAGAGAAGAGTGGGAGAACTTAATTATACCTCAGACACCCGTGAACAAAGCAATTTATAATGATGAATTTATTTTAATCTTTCGCGCATCCACCTCCATGGGTGATAACAATATCAAATTGAAGTTGATTCTTCAAAGATGAGTACCTTTCGAGCCTTTTTTGCACAGGTTGATTATGACCTGTTAACGGACCAAAATCTGTTTACAGAGATCAGCTTTCTTTGCAGAAAATTCTCTTGAGTATTTGTCGGGCTTCTCTTTGTATATCTCTTGTTCGCCACAAGTAAAGAAGCGGATTAAGAGAGGAGGATAAAAATGCGGCCACAACCGTTACCTGAAGAACTGCGTATATTGTTATGCTGAAGTCATTCTTGGGAGGGATTGAAATAATCATAAAAAGAATAGCCATGGGCAAGTAACTGAAATAAAACACAAGCAAAACCAATAAAATAGAAGAGACTGATCTCCTGTACTTCAGAAAGTCAATTGCTGGTCGAGCAGAGTTCTGTTGCAAACTGATTTGGTTTTGATGGTGACGAATTATTTTGAAAACTTTGAAATAAGCTATTGAAGTGACGAACAAACAAAACAAAATGAAGGAAAAATACGAAATAAAATATGCAAGTGTTATTTTCAATCGAAAAAAGCAGACGACCACAGACAATGGCAATAGTGATAGAACAGCAACTCCTTTGCAGGCTCGACGTACAGTCACAAAAGATTGCCGGCTCATCTGCAGCCAGCGTTCGATCGCCATGACTGTGATGAGAAGAATGGTTAATGCAAAGAAGTACTCCAAGAATCCATCGCCGATAACTTTTGTTATCAAATAATACGTTGGCCATCTCTCATTTATCACGTAATGATGTCTGCTGTAATTGGTCAGCGAAGGATCCTTCATTACCAATAACAGATTTGTGACATAAAAAGGTTCTGTGATGAATCCGTTGCAAAAGTCAGTGAAAGCCAGTCCAGCGAGTAGAACGTAACACGGTGTTCTACGGAGCGAAGGGTTTTTCCAAATCGCTGCCAAGACCAGACCATTCCCTATTACGGCCACGGGTGACATGACAATGATAGCGATGGCAGTTGACAAAACCACCTTAAAGAAAATGCTATCATTTATCTCATCATTGTTGTTAGACTGGGAGCGCAACAAATTTGAGCCATTCGACATATTGACAATGTTTTCAAACAACAACAAACATATGAAACATATGTGTGAACTGCGGTTATGAGACGTATATGAGCACGATCCTTCGCAGTAAAGCACTATTTGAGCAATAGTGAAAATCAGACCTGAAAAAAATGTTTTGACAATGTTTTGCGAGTCTGTTTGTTTCTTAAAACTCAAAACGTTCTGAAACTTGCCCTAAGGAACCTAACCTTGGGAGGAAATATGTCTTACTATGGCACGGATTAATAATGCATAGATGCTTTATCACGTGATGCAATTTTCTCCTTTGGAAATGAATCTTAAACAAAAGGACTAATTTTGAGGAAATCATTTCTTTTATAGATGTAATTAATATGACTTTTAATTAAAATTTAAAATATCGTGCTGTTTGGATTTTATTCGAAAAGAAATTAATTACTCTTTTTCACAGCTTCACAAAGAAATCTAGAAGGTTCAATATAAACACAAAACTTGTGTACACACCTATGTTGGCAATCTTTCGTATGCAAAACCAGTTTTGAATAAATCGATTTTTTTATAGTAAACATAATTAAGAATTTTGATTGGAAATGTAAACTTGTTCGAATAATGAACTTTTTTAATAAACTTTTAAGAAAGTCCCTCGCTTACGTCCTCGTGACCCATTGTTCCAAAAATAGCTCTGTTTACTGAGCTAATGGTTCACAGGTTGCAAACTTTGCGAACTGTAGCTGAAGGAAGGTGTTGCCAAATAATCACTCCCAAAATGCTAATGAAACCCAGAGAACCTTTATTAAATTAAGCAAAAACAACGCATTACGCAAAACCTTGTCGATAGTGACGAGTATCGTGTAAAGTTACTAATCCTTTCTTGAGTAAACACGTGAGGCCGACTGGGAAATCGTTTTTCTAAAAATTAAAAAAAAAAAATTAAAAAAAAATTAAAATTAAAAAAAAAAAATTAAAAAAAAAAATTATTGTAACTGAACATGAACCATCTTTTTACACTTGGGTAAAATCAGGCGCAAGAGGTACTAAACAGCGTTTGGGTAACTGTTTCCTGGCAGAAACTGGCCTTTAATCAGTGAACTATCAAAAAGAAAAAGAAAAGAAACAAAAGTAAACTTCTTCACTATATAGCTAGTCGAAACTGTGAGAAATAATTTTGAGAGCAGCTGTGAGAAATAATTTTGTTGATTATTTCAAAAAATAAATTATTTCAAAAGTTATTAAATTGATTTATTTAAAATTAAATTATTTAAAAAAATAAGGCCGAGTGAATAATGTTCTTGTATAATTTAGTTCCATTTGCAGGATAAAAGTCATTTTCAAAATAAGGCTTTGGGTATCGCGGAAATGGCCCATCAGAATCAACCTCAAGACAAGCTCGTATATAATAACAGTTTTCTTTACAGTAAGGGAGCACTGCAGTGTTTCAAGCCATGACTGTTTTGGTAATTATGGCGAGTAGGGAAAAATTAGGGGACTAACTTTGCGGCAGAAGGCGCAAATTTAGCGACCTGCGTTTGGCAGTCACAGAGCAAGGAAAACCGTTCCTGTCATATTATTACGGTCTATCCCTTTACCTCCAAAGGGTGACAAAGAAAGAATTTCCCTTTCAAATACCGATACAATACCAGGCTGACAAGCAATGAGACTAAAGAAAACTTGATCCGACACCAAATTATCTGAAGTAACATCAAAGGAATTGTATCGCAAAAGGTAGGAAGAATTACTTAAAGAACTCGGGGAGTAAAAATCAACGATGCAGTAATGTGTTACATGGGAATGGTACCAATTAATGAATGGAACCAGGGCTGCAGCATAATATGCAGAGGGGGATCAAGCGAGAGCCTTCATTGCTGAAATAAATTTTAATTGCAAAGAAAATTACAAGTACGTCTTTGAAGCAAACGTTTCGGAAGAAACTCTCCTTTGGTCATACTTTTCCATTCCATTCCGATTGGTTTCAAGTTTCAGTAATTTTTTGAAAAGCTATTCGTTCGTGTAATATCTTATTTCGCAGGCAGCGGTTCGCATTGTGGTAGCTCTTCTTTTATCGCCTTCAACCGCTGGACAATGTTCGCAGACGTTTCGTCGTTAGGATCTACAGCAAAATCCATCACGAACGAAATGGGGTCTACGCTATTAATGTTTCCCTCGTATGAGGCGAAAATGATATATTCCGATCCGGGTTTGAACTCCATTGGACAGCCATACATGTCTCTGATGGTAAAACTGGAAGATAAACAGGAGAAAGGCTGAAATATGACTATGATAAAAAGCATCGGACGTCAAATTTATCTGTGACATTCTAGATATAATAGTGGTTTTAGGTACCAATCATTATTTATGGGGGGGGGGGGAAGGGGGTTCGAGGGATTTTGGAAGGGATTAAATGGTTGTCAAGAAGAACGGAGGAGGGATCAGTTGTTGCTAACAGAGTATAAAATGGGGGAGTGTAGAAAATTGACTGACAATGGGGGAGGGGGGGACATAAGAACACCACATAGCCTTGTAGGGGATTCAGGTAAATTTCACTGTGACACAACCTAAATCATCCCATCTTATCCCATCCCACCCCCTCCTGGCGAAAAATATTGACCGGGCCCTTATGTCCAGTCGCGCTTGAGACTTGTGAAGCAGGTGGCAACTGTAACTGATTTGGCGTTCTTTGTTCCCAACTAATCGATTGGAGAGTCCATGACTTGACGCTTTTAACTTAGAGAAGCCGACAAGAAATTTGCCATCAGCAACAGGATAAGAGGACTCAACTTCAAGGCGAGAGAGGAATTTAAAGAGAGTAAATCTTTCTTTAAAGTTTTTAATGTCAGTAACTCACTCGTGCTTTATGGAGATTTCTTCGTCCGGCGAAACAACCATAGGCTCGTCTTGTCTGAGGATTTCCAATATTTTCACGTTCACCTCCAATATAAACAGGCTCTGGGAAGAAATTACTCTGGCGACTAAGGGGGTAAAAAGAAAAATTTAAAGATGTGGGCAAGGGTAACTAAGGTTTCCCGTTCCAGATCTTATACAACTGAGTTTTAAAAAAGCACCTGAGCCGCTCGTTTAGAACGTTACACCTGCTGACAAAAGTTGGTAGGCCAATCTTCTTTACGTGAATTCGTCAACCGGTAAGGTTTGGACCAGTCAGTGGAATGAAGTTTGTTTTCTGGTCAAACGCGAAATTTCATTTAGTCTCGTCATCTCTTATCGCATCGAACTTCTTCTCACAGTTAGGAGCAGATGTCGCCCACTGGCTGTAACCCATCGACCGTAATTAAATAGGTACCCCTCAGAAAAGTTTTACAAATAATGCTTCAAACGCAGACCACGACCAAGAAGGAAGCCAAACGTAATTTCATGAAACAACAACAACAACACAATATCGATTAGTGTACATACCAAGATTGCTGCCACACATCATTTCATCCAGATTGTCCTCTGTTTCATCTATGAAATATTAAGATCATTGTTTGAATTACGAGGACAAAACTGGCCGAGGCTGAATTAGAACCTGCCATTTCCCAGCTCCTTAGCAGCCGTTGCGTTTGGAGCTCGCCATGCATCACGCTTCTTCTTAGACAGTGGAGGAAGGAGCGTGGGGCGAGCGCTAATAGGAAGAAGCAAAGTCAACCTTGAAATATCATTCTCCTGATTGGTCCCCAGTCGTCTTCAAACAACTTCATAGAGTGCACGGCACGGGGCGAGGTGGGAACGCAGGGTGAGATGGGTAGGGAGAAAGCGAGAGAGGAAAACTTCTCTTCCCCTTCCCATTATCCCTTGCTCCCTTGCCATGTGTGGTATGAAGACAACTAGGGACGAGTCGGAGCATTCCCTTAATCCTTTGCGGACACGTGGTGTGTCCTCTTGGAACGACATCGTTTTGATATGGTTGTGCTTCGGGCTTTGCAATAAGCTATTACTGTCTCCGGTTTTGAATACCTCGGTCTGTAGTCCTGATGTTGACTTGGAAACCGGAAGCTACTCTATTGGGAGGAATACCAGAGTTCAGAACAATCTGCATACAAGTGGAATTACAATGAGACACAAAGGAGCCAGGAGACACCTTGGAACCACAGTATGTCCTCCATGGAAATTGCTGCCGATCACATTCTGAGGGCAAAAATATTGAATATATCTTAGAGCCCATTCAACCTTTGACGGATTCATTTAAAATTCACCTTTGTTCCTTGAGAGAAGTCAGGTGTCCACACTGAATTTGGTAAATCGTCCGGCGAAAACAGTGCTTCTCGAAAACTCTCTTGAAAGATAAGTCTGAAAGTTCCGCCTTTGCGTTTGAGTGTGACAGGAAAACGGTTGAAATTGAAGCTTTTGGAAAAGCTGTCTTTTTTTATTTCTGGAGGGAAAGTGAGTTACTTAGTTCGCTCCTACCCTGACACAAGGAGGTAGTTTCCGCGTTTCTGCCACCTGTGTTAGTTTCAAATTCATCTGATGAAGATGAAGTGTAGATGTTGTCCGAATATTGTACTCTGTGGTATGGGGTATGAACTGTGGTATGGGGTATGAACTGTGGTATGGGGTATGAACTGTGGTATGGGGTATGAACTGTGGTATGGGGTATTGAACTGAACTGTGAGCTTGAACGACTCTCGTTACCAATGGCTAAAATAGATTGCCTCCGTATAATATCATACAGTCATGATAAAAAGTAGCGCTACCCCCTTCAAAATGTCATTCAGATACTGTTATTATCAAATGTAAACTCACGTGGGATAGGGATATCAGTCTTAAACTAATAGTCACTCTTAAACTAACAGTCCACTCAATTTTGATATCAGATATCAAAATTGAGTGGACTATTAGTTTAAGAGTGAGAGTGAATGAGTATCTAACCGTTAATAATCTCCAGTTTGTCAAATGTACGAAGATCAAAGGTAGTAAAGTTAAATTCCAACTTCATTCCATGAGGAGGACACACCCGCCATGAACAGGATTTTGCTCTCTGGTAAGGCCAAGGAAAATCTGAGCTTTGTATTGTTACGGTCTCGTTTTCATGTACAGCGACGAAGCCTCCGCATGCTGAGGAGACTGAAAAAAAAAAAAAAAAAAACGAATGAAGAAACATTGAACAACGCCTGCGGAGAAAAACTTGGCTTTACAGCCAAATCTGTATTAAGAGGCACAGTCGTCGGGCGTACTCCACGTCAGCTGCATGCAAAATGAACATAGCCACATATTTAAATTATAATAAATTGAAATAACAAAGACAAAAAACGCTCGAACTAAAGCGCTGGTATTCAGGGCTTGCAAGCTGGTCACTGCGAAGGAGACTACAGGGATGTATGCGAAAAGGACGCTTATTTCATGTACTTACGAATCTGTACGTAGGCGTCCTTTGTATCCTCTCCGGCGGGGTTTTTAACTGTACAAGAATATCTCCCTGTATCATAAATGGTGGCAGAAATGATCTCGAACATATTTCCTCGCTGTTTTTCTATCAAATGATTTCCACCTCTGGACCAGATTGTTACAAAGGGCAACGTTCCTAATACTTGGCATTTGACAACTACCTTTCGTCCCTCTTGTACACGGGTCATAGGTTCAAACGTTTCCACATCAATCTTTGGCGGTTCTGTAGACATAGAAAACAAAAAGGTCCCCGCGTTAACTTTTGGCATGAAAGTGGTCCCCTTTTGCCCCATGAAATATAATCCGCCTTGCATAATTTTGCAGATATAAATCGAAAAATTTCGCTGAATTTTGAACCCCGTACGCCTGAGCCCGCGTTATTGACCGCATATCTGTGACGTAGCATTCGTTATTTAGGGAGAAGTGAAGGGTCAAAAGGTAACTGTGACAGACTGGCACAGACAGGCTAGATTTTGAAATGAAAGTTCCTCAAACAACTACAATTTTGGGTAGAATGGTCCCAAAAAAGATCAAGATAACCATTATTCCATTTGAAAGGATGCATTTACGCTTTTAATTCTCGACGCAAATTTCATTGTTGGCGAAGTCGTTGTTGAGGGCGGAAGAATTATATAATTTATGTTCGTTCCTAAGTGGGAGACTTATTTTTTCCCTCTTAGATGGTGTAGTGTGTATTAGCTGAAAAAGCGATTTAAGTAAGTTCGCACCATGGAGGACTACGGCGGGGCATGACCATGCTACAGAAAAAAAGAAAAAAAAATGGCTGGAATATTAGTGAGACCTCTCGCCGAGCGAGTGGGGAAGTGAGCAAAAGACCTCCAGCTTTTGTCGCGTCCGGAAGACCTGTCAGAGCATTTAATACCAGACAATTGGTTCTTGCTGATCGTCACAAAAAATCTTTGAGTAGCAAAATCATGAAAACCAATCGCGTAAGCGGACGAGCCAAAGGAAAAGTAAAAGGGCATTGCAGTATGGAGGAAATGTCAATTTTCTCCGTTTACACACTGACATAGGATTATTACTCGCAGTGGGTCCAGGTTTCTTTATGAGTCAACAGCCTAAAAATTCCTCGTGGTCTATCAATGAGGAACTCCGCAAAAGAAATTTTTCGTTGGAAATTTCTTGTGTTTTTTTTTTTTGTTGTTGTTGTTGTTGTTCTTAAACATCCCTTCACAAGCTCCATAGGTGGTCAGAATAAACAGCAGCGTTCATATCAAATCTCTCTCTTCATATCTTTGACAGCAGAAAAAAAGTGCTTACAACTACAAAGACTCTTAAAATTTGCTCAGAAATCTCTTTGTCTCAGGCATATTAAGTAGAGGAAATGCTTAAAGATGTTAGAGACATGCTGCCGTCCGGCACGAAAAGTCTGACTCGATGTGCCCGATTATAATTGGATAGCATTGTTAAAAGAAAAGAATACCGATCATGGCTTGTAGCGGGCATAATATTTTTCCGCTCCGAAATATATCTGATAAAAGAAATAATCACATGTCTCCTTCACCAACTGTCAAAATTTCAACTCCCAAAATAATACTCCATCAATAAAAAGGACCTTATCCTGCCATCTCGAGTGCACACCCCCATCAACAACAGGTCCAGTCCTGAAATGATCAAATTGTCTTAGGGCTAACATGGCGCAAATATTATGGTCAGTTTTCGCCGTAAAATTTTTTTCGCGTTTAAGATGAGTAAAGAAGATCTGAATACTTTGAACGTTGGACTGGTGATGGCGACGATTATATATATATATATATATATATATATATAAAAATAAGGTAATGTTATTGATCTATAGTGACATGACAGGACGTCGACAGCGCATTTAATAGTGCCAGCGAAAATGTGGCGCGCGGCGCCGCGCTCGGAGAGAATCAAAACATGTGCCGAAAGAAAATTGCGGCAGTACTCATACGTACGTCAATATTTGCTCTACCGCATAGAAAATGATAGCAGTACAAAATCTACCGGTGACTTTCAGATGTATGTAAACAAAACGAGCCTGTTATTTTTCAATAATAATTTCATCCGTAAAGACTCGCGTGAACTGTCAAATTTCTGTAGCAACAGTCAAACTTTAAAATTTGTCACAAGCAGACTTCGCACCGAACAGAAAAAATATTAAATAAAGAACAACAAACATGAAAATACTGTTCGATTTTTCATTTCATATATTGGAAAATATTTTTTTGCACTTACCGCACTCGTCGTATTGATCAGAGCAGTAACCGCGCTCAACTGCGGACAAATTGTCATCAGTGACATAGATGGCAGACTGTGGAAAACCGTCATATCTAGCTGTGAAATCTTCATTCACAAAGAATATGTAATCAGAGCCTTCGAACACGTATGTCAAACACAGCTCTTGTATTCCAAATGATCCAAAACACAGCTCTGGAGGAATTTCGAAGGGTGCCTTGAATATTTTTTCGATACGGACGCAGGCGTCGAAGACTTGACCTGTAGCATGGCGATCTAAGTATGTTGTTGTATTGAGAACTTTAGCTTGAAAAACGATCGGCGCTAGGATAGTTCGCTCTATTGGAGAGTAGGAAGGAGTCTCAGGAGGCAGAGAGCAAGTGTATGCAACGGGCAGAAACAAACCAGCGACGAGCACAGAGATAAGAAACATTTCACCAGCTATAAACTCAGCTGGATGCTGCTGGACTATGTCACGACACACGATCGATAGTAACGTTTATATTCAGCGAGGAATTCCATTCCCGCGTGTTTGGTGACGGATTATCTTTCAAGTGAGGGCTCACAGACAGCTCAGATAAACAGCTTTGGTGGGAGATTTCGTGAGGTCAGATTAACTTTGTGGGCAGTCAAAATAACCCAAAACTGAAAGTCAAAGTCGAAGAATTGAAAAACTGAATAAAACTGAGTTTTTAAAAGGATCGTTGTTTTTTGATGAGCGTCGTCAATTCATTCTGGATTGTTTCATTCATTGCGGTTTACCTCCCATCTCTTCTATTTCCGCTTTGAAGTTGACAAAGGCCGTTTCTTTACCCCCCTATCATGCAATGTAAAATGAGCGCATACCTTCATTGTGTAAGTAATCTTACCCATTTTCGTTTGTTTATGAACTATTACCTCTAACCCACTCTCCAACTCATTCTGCCATTCCTCCGATATTAGCTGCTGCCTTCAAGGAGTTTGTGGGAGATTTAAGGCCAGAGTTTTCCAAGAGGAATAGTGAGACGCCCAACTATTTGGGTGTGGCCCTTTTTGATTTGACGGGAGATTGCGGCTTATCGGGAATTTTGATAAGAACCCCGTCAAAAGTTATTTGAATATTGTTTCATGGGTGTGTCTCACATACCTGCAATGGATTTTACCTCAAGTTTATTTTCTTTTGTCTCAAGCATCAGAGGCATCAGCTCTTATTTTGAATTATTCGTAATAGATTATGTGTTTCGCTTTCAGGAGTTTGGAGCTTCTTGGACTCTTTATTATATCAGAAGCACATTTAAAGTTCTAATTCTCATCTTTACTATTATCGTTGAGTCCCAAGGAATATGACAAGTTTGTTCATGGCTGGGGATTTTATGACTTTTTGTTTCTTGAAATTGTTAAGCTGTTCCTGGTTAGCAAAAACATAGCTTATCCTTTTTTAAGAAATCCTCCCTCAATTAATCTTATTTTGACATTGTTTTGTTATCTCTTCAACAGATTATAGGATTAATGGATCTAATTTCCTTCATTTCAAACGAGGACATTGTAACTATTGGCTCCTGTAACGCTCAGGTATGCCGTATGCCACACGGAATCAACTCTGAACTGGCCTGGACTTGCTTTTTGTCTAATTTCTGCTGAAACGCTGCAAGCTTTAAAAGAATGTTAGTTGAGGGGGGCCTTGGGATTTTCAGTTTTGCGGTTTGGACTAATTTTTGGATCGGTTTTTCGGTTTTTGGGCCAAAAAGGTTTGGTTTTTCGGTTTTGATGTTCAGAGCGGTTTGCGGATTTTACGTGTTTTTGCACAGGGAGGGGCCCACACAAGCGGCGTGTCTGGTCGTTTGTTAGAAATAGAAAGAAATGTATGGGAGAATATTGAAGAGTCGTAATATCGTAAACTTATATCAAGGAACAAAATAAATGTAAACCTACCTCACTTGCTGTCTATTGTCGTTTCTGTGGTTCTAAATGGCCAATTTGGCCGATTTGGTAGATTTTGCGTCGACTGTTACTTTACTGAATAAGAAGGAGACAGTAAAGTAACAGTCAACGCAAAATCTACCAAATCGGTCAAATTCGCCATTCAGAACCACAGAAACGACAATACACAGCAAGTGAGGTAGGTTTACATTTATTTTGAGCCTTAACATGGACATTCCTTTCTATAAGTTTACGATAACACGACTCTTCAATATTCTTCCATGCATTTCTTTATATTTCGAACAAACGACCAGACACGCCGCTTGTGTGGGCCCCTGTGGTTTTTGCATTCGGTTTTTGGTTTTCACGAAAATTCTGGTGCGGTTTTCGGTTTTTTCTTTTTGACCCCTTAAAGGTGAAAATGTAGCGGTTTTGTCAGGTTTGCATGCGTTTTTCGGTTTTGTTGCTTTTTTTCGTCGGTTTTTCGGTTTTGGAGGTTTTTTTTCTTCGTTTTGCGGTTTCCTAGAGGCCCCAATGCGTTAGTCTTAGTTGTACAGCCACTAACTGAAGCTTAAAAACTGTATTATTTTGCATTCATTTATAGTTAGTTTTAAAGGAGTAAGATTAAGTCTCGGTGTTTAAAAACTAGAATTTCATACGTGGTCTTTCTCCTTTTCCTTTTTGGCATGCAACACCCATGACAGATCGTGACAGCCCTCTACGAATTCTTCATGATTAAGTTTACTTCTGCTATTTGGGGGAAAATTAACATTAGTCTTTAAACTTTTAAGACAGTCAATTTGTGGTTTAGTTGCACCAGGAAATCAATACGCGAACTTTTATTCAATCATGACGAAGGCGAGTGAAAGCAGGTAATGTTTGCGTGACTAGAGATTGATCGCAGAGATCTATGGGATTTAGTATCAGTGAGAGGCCTGGGTCTTAGTTAAAAGGTTTTGTCTGCTTCTGCAAATGTCACGCCATGAGCTTCTGGGAGCTTGTGGACAAGCCGACCGTGCATGAAATGGCTAAAACCCAAGAGAAAGGTAGGCTGTTTTTTCCTCTTATTTCTATACTAAATTCTTTGTAGATCGATTACGAAGATTTTGAACGAAACATAAGTTCAATTGGGTAAAGTATTTGCTGTTATTTAGTTGTTTTGTCATCTGAGATGGTCGAAGCTGACATTTCCTTATCAAATCAGCTGTTTGTATATGAACTTCATATATTCATTGTAACCGAATCAGCTGTTTGTTGCGAAAAAAAACATAAATTTCTCTTTCGTAGACGAGCAAATAATTTACGCAATTTCTTACAAAAAATTCGGTAATTTGTGAGTTGTTTTCGGTAAAGAGATGATGAAACTTTGTGGCATTGTAAGTGTTAACGTTATTATTTTGGGGGGTGCCTTTAGTACTTAATTTGTCGACAATCTCCCTCAAGCAACCTCTTTTATGATTGCATCTCGCTAGCCTGATTAAAACTTTGCACAGGGGTGCTTTGTTTAGACTACACTTCTATTCTTAAGTTAATTATTACCCTGCAGTAATAAATTGGTACTCTTCTGGCTGAAAGAAACAATTTAAAACTGGTAACTTCCTTTTGAGTGCATTAGATTGTTTTGGTTGGAAATCAAGGAGAGCAGAAATGAGATTGATAAAGAAATTAGGGAGGTGAACCACTGTTGGAAATGCCTCACTGACTGGCTCAGTCAGTTAGCAAGAATTACTTGTTAACCCACGTTAAATGTATTTTCATGATACAGAATACGTGGTCTTTGTCACATCACAGAAGCTTCATTATCTAAACTGAGGCTCCTGAGGGATTTCTCCACCCACTCAGGCTAAAGTGTATCATTAGATCAATATATTATTAAATTTATATAATCAATTGAAAACACCCTTCTCATGACAAATGGAAGATTATTCTTTAAATTAAAACCCTTGATATGCATGTGATAAGGAAATGAGAGTCTCTAAGTTACACTGTACTTTAAATGGAATGAGGCAATGATTTAGATGTAAAAAAAAAAAATCCTTAATTTAAAACATGATCAGAGTCTAAGCATTGTATGCTTGTGGGATTGTGTATCTAATTAACCTACCTAATTAACCTATTATTAAAATGAGTGAAACATATAAAATGACTTACTTTAGCTTTCAAGTAGATACATGGCATCTTTAAAATTTAACATCTCAGTTACTGACTTATTTCAAATATGATTTCCCTGAATGTAGGCTCAGATTTTGTCTTTGAATAAATTGTTAAAAACTACATGAATCATACAAATAGTCTGAGACACAATTCCACAGTACAGCTCCTCTGTAACGAACAGAATTTTTCATAACATAAGTAAAAAATCGTGGAATGGTGGACTTGTAATGTCCTCTTAAGCTGTATGCAGTTGCGCTGTGCAACTAAATCTGAAATCATTGAGGGCATATTATTGCTAACTTTGTCATAGATTAGTTAGACAAGACTTCGATGTTATCGTTTGCACACCTTCAAGCAATTTTGTCTTTCTTTGTATTCAGGAGTTGGTGGAGGGACTAACAATGCTTCTACAATGTACTTTGTTGTGGAAGGGGGTCTGAATTCACTGAGCACATCAAAAGATGGATCACAAGTAGTTGTGGCTGGTCGAAATGGTAAGGGATAATTTACCTTCTGATTTCTACTCTGTACCTAACACAGATATAATGTTAAAGAAGGGAAGAAGAAAATTGAAACACTGTGTAACTAGTATATAGCAGAATGTATAATATTTATTCAAATAATTAAGTGTCCACATCAAATAAGTGCTCACCTGAACAAGTGCTCAGCCTGGAAGTTGCTCAACGCTATGCAGATTATCTGTTTTCTTTATAGAATGTTAAGAAAAATATAATGCAGAAACATTGCACAATTCATTTGCTAGTCAACCTGTATTTTAATACAGGTTAAAGATCACATAAAAGTGATCAACTTGTTTTTAATAGTCACCCTGCAGTTCCTCATTGATGGCCACTTAACACAGGTGCAAGAGTATTATTTTTAGCTTTGATTCAGTTTTTAAGGTCATCAGCATTGGAGAGACTGGATTTGTTGAAAAAACTAATTTACGTGTTGGAAGGATTAACTTGAACTTCAGCATAACAGATGTTCAGTGGCATCCAGTTGATGGTAAATGGCACTAAAGTTGATAAGTTTATTCATTACTCAATTCTCAAAGAGTAATTTTATGTTCAAATAGTTTTGTAGCTATTGTTGAAAATTTAGGCTAAAAGCTAGGGTCAGTTTAAAGTAAGAAAGAAACCTGTAAGTTATACTACAAGTGCATGTTTAGGTTTATTCAGGCCTGTAAGTTGTGTATTTATGGTTTCCTTTCTGCTCCTATTTAATGGAGAACCGTTAAGTATAGCCTGAATGTCATTCTTATGTGTAAGGAAGTGCTGCAGGGGAATATATAATTGTCAATTTAGAGCTTTCTAATTAAATTAGTTTAGGTTTTAAATACAGGTGGCTGTATGCATTGTTCATTGCTTGTGGTGTTCAAACAATCCAGAAGAAATATGATTACTTGCATTTTTGATCTTTTGATGTCACAAGGTCCAGAAGCAGAAGCCCTTATCTAAAAAATAAATCAGCTGGCAGTGGTTTATTACAGACTGTCTGGTTGATATTTAAGGAGTTGGAAGTTCATAGTGAAGATTTGCTGTTTAGTAATTCATTTTGGAAATTAATCATTTCAAATTGAAAGTCAGGGATATTGAACTTTGTTTACAGATTACATTCTGGCAACTGCAGCTGGTAATGGTGCTGTTGTGCTTTGGAATTTGAACAAAATCACAAGACAGAAACAGGGTGCTTTCCATTTTTAACATTGAAAATAATTATTACTGGTATTGTTTTAAATCAGAATAGTTATCTTAAGTTTTTTCAATATTAATGCATTATGCATTATGAGGGCCCCACTGAAAACTGCTGTGGCGAGGTGGGCTCCCTCGTTAAGTATTATTATTATTAAAATATTATTATTATTATTATTATTATTAATATTCAACATTTTAACAGATAAAATTCTTACCACCTATTGAGTAAAATTATGTAGATCAGTCAATGTTTAACATAAATTAGATGAGCTTTTTCATATGGAAAGTTTTGGGAGCTTGAAAAATGTGTAAGAGTTGATCGAGGTATAACCAAAATAATGCAGCCCCCAAACTTCATAGTATGTGCTTGCTATTAGTATGAATGTGCCACCAACTTATGAATCAATTTTTTCACAATGTTCTCAGTGTGGTAGTTTAGTTTTTTCCACTAAGTTTCAATGCATAAACTTGGATGATCTTTGTGCCGAACTGGCATATGAAGAAGCAAGTTGAATTTGATTCTGTTGATTTTATTCATTTAGCTATTTTGTAATTGATAATTTTTTCCCCTGTCTACAGAGTTGGTATTCACGGAACATAAGAGGACTGTCAATAAAATTCAGTTCCATCCTTTTGAAAACCACATTTTGTTGAGTGGATCACAAGATGGAACAATGAGATATTTTGTAAGCCACTTCGTGTTAAAGAGAAAATTTTAAAGTGTAGTTGTTTTTACATGGTATTTATTTAGCATATGTATGTTGTTGTGAATCTTCGTAAATATATATATAGTTTTCTTCTCCAGTTTTATTTTTGAATAATGGATCTTTAGATGGTCTTTGTTTGATGCTCACTATAAATACAAAATATACTTCAGATATTCCTGAGTCACATACAGTCAAATCTCCACTAACAGAAACTCTTGTGAGCAGATAGTTCTTCTTACAGACAATTTTTTTTAATTCCCCTTTTTGCCTCCCAGGAAAACTCTGTATTTACACATTCCCTTTAGTGGACACTCTCTTATAAGCAAACCCAGACACTTTAGAAATGGAAAACTGGATATTTCATTTTTTTATTGTCTTCTCTTAAGCGGACACAACATGCATACTTGGCAATGGAATTGGTCTTAATTTACAAGTCAACAAAAATATGACCTTTGTGATAAAGTAACAGAACAGTGGGGATAAGTTTTGTCAAAACTCCATTTGTCCATTGGAAAGCAAGCAAGAGTCTGAGATAACACTTTCCTGTAAGTGAACATCCAACACATTTTAGTGTCAGTTCATGGGACACTTTTACCAATTCCCTAGGGTATCCACTTAAATGAGAGTTGACTGTAGTTGATCATGCAGTAAAGTGAAAAAGTGTAAGTATCCAGTTATTAAAAGTGTACATGATTCCAATGTTGTCTGTTTTTGCTTACTTTTCAACTAAAGGATTTAAGAAAACAAAGTGTTGCATTAACATTCCTTGGAAAAGCAGAAAGTATACGAGATGTTCAGGTCTGTATTTTTTGTGTTAATTTTCAATTTTGTATCCAGTTCTTAATGGTTTTATCAGATATTTGCTCACAGTCTTGTTACTACCTTTGTTTTATAAAATGTAGGAATATTGTTGTATGAGAAATTCATTGGCTTTTTTTTAAACAAAGAATAAATTTTTGTCAGAGATTAAAGATTGCACAGCATGGTATAGCAACTCAGTCTATCAAATGAATATAAGAATTTCTGCAAACTAGAATGCTGTTTTAATTTAATTCAAAATTTTGAAGTCAACTTCAAAACAGAATACCTACATCCATATAAATGGAATTTTTTAAAATGAAATCACGGTCTGAAGTTGAGTAATGAAAGATGAAGTCTATTGGTGGGTGCGCTAAAATGAATCTACTCAGTCTGACATGTGTCTTACAACTTACAATTTATCTCTAGTTCAGCCCATTTCAAGGTGATAGTCAAAAATTTGCTGCTGCATGTGAGAATGGTAATGTTCAGGTAAATTTAGACTATTGTTTGTAATGCTACTGACTGAAATCAAACTCGCTCTTTTTATTTGGAATATTAGTCAGTGTTCCAAGGCTTAGGGTTTACTAAAGTGCCATTCCCCATTCTGCAGTTTCATGAAATAATTGAATGGTCACCAGAAATAAATGTTTAGTTGTCAAAAAAAAAAAAAAAAAAGAAAAAAAAAAGATAGAGAGAGAAATAAAAGAAAGCAGGGAAAAAGGGCAATGACATTTTGTTGGATATTGCCTATAAATCATTACACAACTATTTAGACTGTACACAGTAACTAAAAGAAATGTCACAGGTACGTGTGGCTGCTTGATCACTGAATGGAGAGACTTTCATAGCAAATTTAGTTGCAAAAGATCGCTTTCCTAGCCATGGACCGCAGCTTGAAGAGTATACAGGACACTTCGCCCAAAAGACTTATCACACAAGTCTCTTCGCACAAGTTTTAGACCGTTCCCACAATTCTTAGTAGTCATTTCGCACAATAATTGTAAGTGAGGAGAAACATCGATTTAAAAGGTATTCTAATTGATACTGATAAGATATTTCACCTTCACGTGTCACTTTCAATAAGATCCGATGACGAGAACGTAGATATTTATTTACGTAATAACTTCAACTGGATCGAAACGCTTGTGAACACGATCACTATTCTAACTTGATGATGAACTTTATTCATGTGTCAATTATAAAATAGCAGTAATAAAACCTAAGTAAGGACACAACAAGATAATTTAAATAAAATATAAATAATAATAATAATAATAAGAAAGGAACAAATCTTTCTCTCTATCAAAGTGTAAAGAACTCCCTATTCGAACGATTACTTCTATTACTTTATAATAATAATAATAAGTAAGATCTTTTGACAGGGAGCCCACGTCACAAAGTGTGGTTTTCAGTGAGGCCCTGCATAAATCTGACGTAAGGATAACAGAAAATATAAATATGGTTATCAAGAAAAGGATAAAAGGGCATAATCAATAGAGGAGACTACAAATTTTTAACAAGACGTCTAAAAACTGAAAAATCGGAAATGTTCCTAATGCCGTCTGGGAGAGCGTTCCAGTCATCTACTGCATGACAAACAAACCGATGCTGACCCCATGTACGCTTTTTCTTTGTTAAACGAAAAACTTTTTAGTTTTGTCAGTACATCATCTACTACAAACATGCAAACATCAAGGGCGTTTACAAAACCAGGATCGGATCGGATCGGATCGGATCGGATCGGATCGGATTGACAAAACCTGGACCGTATTAACAAAATCTGGATCGGATTGCGTCCGATTGACAAAACCCGGACCGGATCCGCAGCCTTAAGAGAAACATGTCAAACATGGCGACTGTTTTTCTTGCCATGCACAGTTTTTTTTTACGTTTGAGTTGGACGGCCAGGCTCCCGAGAGGGCGGTGCAATGCCTGCCGACCTACATGTCTAATCCAACCCATGGCTAGAGTGTCAGGCCTTAGGGTTGGGATCGCAACAAACGAGGGACACCAGTCGCCAACTTCGCTGGGGAATCGAACCCCACCTCACTTAAAAATTACCACACACACAGTGTGAGCGCTAAGCCTCACGGGAGTTACAGGCGATGATGTTTAAGTTTTCGATCGGAGGTAACGACACCTGCTAAGTAAGTGCCAGTCAACTGATTTGACCGTAATTGAATGTAGTTGAAAATGAATATCCACAGACGTTCTCAAGCTCACGAAATGTATAGTTGTTTTATTACGAGCGGAATGGTCACTGGAACGTTAATTGCTTAACTTCAACTAAGTTTGATCAGATCAAGCTTTTCCTTGCCGGAGAGTCTGGTAGACCTCAAGTTGACATGCTTTTCTTAAACGAAACATTCTTCAAACCTGGTATTCCTGACTCACTATATGCCGTTCCTGGATTTATAATATATCGCTGTGACAGAATATCGAGAGGTGGTGGCGGTGTATTGGCCTTTGTCAATCAAGATCTGCGTTTGAAACGTAGGGCTTACTTGGAGAATGCTCACTTAGAGATTATTTGGCTGGAGATTTTCCCTTTCAAGTCAAAAAGGTCTCTGTTTATTTCAGGAATTTACCGTCCGCCTTCGTACTCTTCGGCTGACGATACTCGCTTAGAGGCAAACATTGAACAGGCTTATCTCCTGAATAAAGAAATGACCTTACTGGGCGATTTCAACATTGACGCGCTCATGACGCGTCGGTATGCTAAAGAGTGCTAAACGAAAGTATTATGCCTCAAAACTTGAGAATAATAAAAACAATACCAAAGAAATGTGGAAAACAATTAAGTCAATTACTGGATTGAGCAAACAGTCTAAGCGTGTAAACAACCTTAAGTTGGTGGGTGTCTCCTAGAGGACGATGAAAAAATTGCTTCATTGAGGAAGTAGTGACCTAAGCTGATCTGCAATAGATGTAAAATCATTTTACATCTATTGCAGATCAGCTTAGGTCACTACTTCCTCAATTTGATTTTGACATATCTAAACTTCAAAACTTTGTCATCACAAGAAAGGACGCTAGCATCACTTTCTCCATACCACCTATTACAGAGAACAAGAACATTGATTGTCTCAAGAACATTAGCTCAAACAAGGCCAGTGGTATTGATGACATAAGTGCGCGAATGCTGATATTAGCAGCTCCTATTATTGCTCCGTCCATTGCTAAACTAATTAATTATTTATTCATAACATCACTTTTTCCTCAGCGCTGGAAGACTGCAAAAGTCACTCCGTTATTTAAAGGTGGGGGTCAAGAAAACGTAAACAACTATCGTCCGATGTCAGTGTTGTCAGAACTTTCCAAGGTAATCGAGAGGCATGTACACGGCTCGCTTTATAGTTATTTGTGTGTCATTAATCTAATTTATTCTAAGCAGTCTGGCTTTCGCAAGCGTCACAGTACTGAAACTGCTCTTATTAGAATTATCGACGAACTGCTGTTCAACCTTGACAATGATCGCGTGAGTGGTATGATTTTAATTGATTTTTGCAAGGCTTTCGACATGGTTGATCACTCGATTCTATTGCAAAAACTTCAAGCATATGGGCTTGACAACAAATCGTTAATCTGGTTTCGATCATATCTGAATGAAAGGCGCCAGTTGGTATCTATGGGTAACACAGAATCTCCTACTGCTTGTGTTCGTCATGTCGTACCTCAGGGCTCAATTTTGGGTCCCTTGCTTTTCATGCCTATATTAACGATCTTCCGCTACATGTGAGCTCGGCTCAAATTGACCTATACGCAGACGACACGACGTTAACCTCTGCTGCTAACTTTGACTCCGTTGATGTTCTTCAAAGTTCACTGACAACAGCAATCTCTGAGGTCGACGAATGGGCAACAGCTACTGATAAACTTCCTCTCAATGGGAGCAAGACAAAAGTTCTTACCATTACTGGCAAGCGACTCTCTACCAGAGAGAAAAGATTTCTTAATTTAAACGTGGTAAACACTAATTTGATGTCAAGATCATTACGAAAACGACTAACAAGGCGACGTATTTGTTTTGAGCTATAGTAGAAAAACGGCCTAAATAAGGTAACTTATAAAAGTGTTGTTTACCCTGTGAAGTGATATTAGAGGAAAGAGGTGTTTGAGTGGAGCCATTTTGGTCGATGGCTGTGTTCAAATATCGCCCCTTCTAAATTTCAACTTAAACTTAAGGAGGCTATGCACATAAACTGGGAAAAGCCTAATTTAAACCAACAAGTTCATCACTTCACCATGACGCTTACGCTTTAGGTTTTATATTCTTTCCAACACTTTGTTACTCACTCAAATATGTAATTTTTGTCACTTAATCATAATTAATTATGCATGTTTCGCCTAGTTGTTATATAGTCCTAACGGTTTTTCAAATATTCTGTAACTGACGATGATGTTCGTAACATCGAAACATGTCTTCGAAATTAAAAAATGTCGTACTCTTCTTGAAGATAACGATTTGCTTTCTGCTGTCTCGACCATTTACAAAATTCTTGTGTAAATGGTATAATATAATAATAACACACTAAATGTCGCTTTTCTTTGTATTTAGGATGAAATTGATGAACTCTGATGAACAATTATATCCATATCTCGGCCATATCACGGCCATATCACGGCCATGTTACCCGACGAGTCACGCGTGTTTTAACTCGTTAGTCGGTCAAGACTCGTAGAAATTTAGCCCTTTCTTATATTCATTTAAGTTATAGTACATCCAGAAATACCTTTTATGTTGATATTTTCTCACTTACAATTATTGTGCGAAATGACTACTAATAATTGTGCGAACCGTCTAAAACTTGTGCGAAAAGTCTTTTGTGCAAAATGTCTGGTTACCCTTGAAGAGCATTTCGTTTTGCACTCAGAGCTAGGTTAAAACTTGTGCAGAACTAAGTCAGTATTTTCTCCTACGCGGTATTTTAAGTTGCAAATATCCAACTTGTCAAAGGGTTGTTTAAAATTGTCTACAACCTGCGTGCATTGTAAGTCCTGTTTGAGAAATAATACATCCTAAGGAATAATGAAATCAGATATTTGCCCGACAAATAATTTCCATAAACTGCTTTTACGAGAAACTATTGAGTTTTGTATTTAGTAATTACTAGTTTGCTTGCAGTAGAAGCTAGGTTGTTTAATGAGAACGTTTTGTATATATGTTCAAGTTGTGGGATAGCCGGGTGCCAAACTGTCCTTTCAATCAATACATGGGACATAATGGACCAACATTTGCTATCGACTGGCATCCTGAAGAGAGGAACTGGGTGGCCTCTGCTGGCAGAGACAAAATGGTTAAGGTAATGACTACACTGGATCATTCAGCTCAATTTTATTCATCCTCTCTGGCTTGGTCTCTTTGAGGGCAGAAAGTGTAATTTCTTTTAAACAGCAGCAGGTGATAAAGCCCCATTGGATCTTTATATAATCCACTGGAATGAAATCTCAGGCTATAAAAGATGTGATTTTCATTCGCTGTGGTTTTATACTCACACTGACAAATGTTTAGTCAGTTGTCTATCAGTTGTGCCCAGAACACCTGTACAAATGTAGATATTATTTCCTTAACAGCCCTCCTCGTTGTTATTGTGTTATTTAAATGTTTGTTTGTGACTTAAGCTGAAGTATGAGCTACCATTAAATATCCTCGGTCTATTTGTTTTTGTTATTTATTTTTATAGGTATGGGATGTCTCTGGTAAGACGCCCCTGATGAACACCATTCAAACAATAGCTTCTGTGGCACGCATCAAGTGGAGACCACAGAGAAAATATCAGATTGCAAGGTAACTTCATGTCTCTTTATTCAATTATTTTTTAGAGAATGTACCAAACTATAAAAGCTTAACAAGAGCTAAAGGCCAGTTTTAGGGAAGCTTCAGTGAACTGAGCAGTTCTTTCAATATTCATTTTGTTGGATGAGTTGACGGTAATCTTTAAGCGTATGGATAAATAGCGCATGCCTATCCAAATGAAAGCCAATAAGCCTTATTTCATATGACTCTGCTCATCGTGCTGCACAAAGTATAGAATGATGCAGCTTGAAGAAGTCAGTACATAAAGCCCCGAGTTCACTAAGGTGCGGGATTGCAGAATATCAAAATATCAAATTAACTGTGAGATTTTGAGAATTTGATATTATCATGATAACTATTTCAAAATATCAAATTAACTGTGAGATTTTGAGATTTTGAGACGTTGATATTATCGTGATATTATTTTGATATTATTAAATGATTTTGAAGTTCATATATTTTGAACTGCGGTATTAGATACGTATGGTGCACGATCCTCGCAGTGGAGAGCGCTATTTATGCAATAGCGAAAATCAGACCTGAAAAAAAAAAAATCAGGCCTGTACGGGATTCGAACCACTGACCTCTGCGATACTAGTGCAGTGCTCTAACAAGCCAACTGGGAACAGGCCGTCAAGTTGATTCATGCATAAATAGCGCTCTCCACTGCGAGGATCGTGCATCATACGTATCAAATGATTTTGTTATATCAAAATATCAAATTAACTGTGAGATTCCGAGACGTTGATATTATCATGATATTATTTTGATATTATCAAATGATTTTTTATAAATCTTTCGTATGCCATCTCACGGTGATATTTTGATATTATCATGATATTTTGATATATCAAAATCTTAAATTAACTCTACCCCTAACCTAACAATAAGTTTGCCAAACTAGAAAGATAGAAAGGTAAATCCGAAATTAAATGAGGGCAGTTCAACATCATTTATTTGGGCAGAAAGTTCTTCATCGTGGTCTTGTTGTTGCTCGAAAACCTTTGAACACGCATCCACTTCTTTCAACTCCGCATCGGATAAGTTCATTCCATTCAGATTTGATAGTGCATTCTGTTCTTTCAGGAATTTGCCTGTATGGGTGATAAACCATTGTAGAATCTGGCTTTCTTCCTTGTCTCCCAAAAATTCTGACGGTGGGACGCGGAAAGTCGTACTTGCAGCTTAGTATTGCGTTGGCTTGTTGTTGGCCCTTACATAGGAAAGACTGTGATACGTCACTTCAATTTCTCCGCAAGCGAATTCTAACTCTTCACTCTTGTACACCATACTTAGCATGCAAATGAAACGTCGTTGGATTGACAGAAATTCCTTCCTTGAAATATTTTTAAACGAAGCGTTGCTGTTTTTCAAGGTGGCTTCTAACACACTGTCAACTAACAGTACTAATCCATTATCCAATGTGTGTGGCCGATCCATACCACGACTTTACCTTTGATCCTTTTGCAACGAATGTTTCCTTTTTTCTAGCGGCCCCAGGGGAATGTAACATGCATTAATATTGGTTCGCAACGATGAAACCTTTGTAATCTCTGGTTAAGCAAGATGAATTGATTAATAATCAGTGTGTTTCAAAATGTAACCTTTTTTTACAAGGGATTCACGATATTTCTGTGATAACACGAGAATTAGTTTACTCATTAACTCATTTTCCTGATTTTGGAAATCGCTATTTTAGTTTGCCAGGAATGAAAAAAACAATAGTGTCGCACGATACTATAAAATCCAGATCAAAGATAGCGCGCGTAAACAGAGAACAGAACAAACCGCCGCAATGTCCTTCCTCGTTCAGCTCAAGAAAAGTGATAACGCGTGAATATACCTCCCTCTTTAATAGCGCAGTGTGCAAAAAGCAACAACATGTCTGTTGACAATGTCCTTTTATTTTCACTTCGCGCGCATAATAACACTTCACAATTAGTACTCAAATGATTTCAATAACGCTACTACAGAAAATGTCCCTGTTTACAACAACTTCTTTCGTTTTAACTCTGCCTCCAAGTCAGTATTGAAACATTGGTCAACAAACCAGAACAACACGTTCCTCTTACACTGAGTCATTTTTCGAGTAAGGTCAAAGTACTGATTTAATCTCTTAAAACCCTGTTCGCAAGATTCAGTATTCACACTCCTGGTTTCATGAAACTTCAGCAGAGGTGGGTGATAAAGACAACTCCGATTTTCAGGTGGCATACAAACATCCTCAGTGTGTGTGGAGACATGAAAAATGTCTACTAGAAATTGGACATTATCTATTAACAACTTTGCTCCTGCACTACCATTTTGAGCTTGATTTTTCAAAAAAGGCATCAAGCCACAAGCCCTATCGTACCCTAGGTACCCGAGTCTCTTGAAATGCTCTAAATTGCTACAAAATGTTCTAAGGATAAACAGAAATACCTGCTTCACTTGTAAACATTTCGTTCATACTTACAACAATGTCGCAAGGCCTTATAAGAACAAGCATTCCCGCAGTTGTTTGGTAGAATAGCGAAATGTTTTCTTTCTTTTTACATCCCTTAGCACTCTGCTGTGCTAAACATTCATCTTCAGATTAACGGAGGAGCGCAATAGACACGGGGTTTTTAAAACGGTTCAGCGACAATGGATTCCGCTTGCCTTAACATCACCGGCTTCATCCAACCTGCTTACGTCGTTAAACTACTCTCACAAGATGGCTTCGATGGCGTTAATGACCGACAGCTCTATAATTATGTGTGCCTTGTAGAGCGAGATGTTGATTATGACGAATTGGTACCATTTGACCCTACCACAAATCCCCAACTGAAACGTGTCTACGAAATCACTGCTAATTTTCACAAGGCTCCAGTTAACTACAAAGTGGATAAAGATGCCCACGAACTGTTTAAAAACTATCACGACGAGCTCAAACGAAGAAAACTTCCCACTGAGTTTGACGAAAACCGGCGCGGAATCATCGCAAAGGCGATTGGCCAAATGGCACGTGTGTGTATGATTGTTCATGTCTTAGACAACGCTGTTGAAATGGCACAACGAGAGCTTGATACTGCTGAGTAAAATGACACTCGAGATCAAGTTTCGTCCATCATCGGAAAAGTGCAGCTCTACAAGCAATTACCAGTATGAATTACGTTGTGGACACAAAGTTTGCGATGATGCCACCGGAAGACAAACTACATGATGCACCTGAACCAGCACTAAGCACACCAGCTATGCCTGTCAATGCTGAGAATTCTTCCCAAACCTCAGCCTCCTACTTCCCACAAGAAACGCTCACAAACCTTTATGGGAAATACATGAAGAAGGTGTTGCTACACAAGGGGACTGTAGTTAAAGCCAGAGAAGTTTCCGGTCGCCATCTCATCCCCTGTGTCCCTCCACTCCCCAACACAACCAACCGCTATCCAACTTTGGCTGCAGAAGGCTTGCTAAAGTCCATGGAAAGTTTGGGACTCGGAGACATTGACCGCACTGCAAACGGCAAAAGCATCTTACTTCGCAAAGGACGCATCGAAGACATGCCAACAGGGGTCGAAAACAAACTCAGAAAAATCAAACTCAGTGACGAAGAATATGAACAATCCATGGAATAGACGTTTCCCGTTAAAATAAGTAGGACAGATTTCCAATAAGTATTTTCAACTATTTTATAAAGTAACTTTATTATTGGTGTCTTCTTAGGCAGTAACTTATATAAATATCAATTGCTTTAAGATTTATAGGTTTCTGTTCATATAAAATTGTTATGTTACATTTTCTCAGCATTTTCTTTCATTCCAACTCTTGTAAAAAGTAAACAGGATTTAAAAACAAACTTAGAAAATAAAACTGAGTGACCAAAAATATGAACAATCCATGAAATAGACATGCTTCTTTAGAATAAGATCAATATATTCCTAATTTTTCAATTATATTGTAAAGTAAGTTTAAAATTGGAGTCTTCTTGTTGCTATAACATTTATAGGTTAATCAGATATTATCATAATATCAAAACATCAAGCCCCTCCACACTTCCTTACACCCAGGCAAACATTTGATATTATGAATTCGATATCAATATTTTGATATCACGATATTCTGATATTATCATGACATATCAAAATATCAAACCCGTCCACACTTAGTCACGTCCAGGCCGACATTTGTTATTCTGTTATTCTGATTGTTTGTTGTATCTTTTGATATTTTGATATTAGCATGACATTCTGATATTATCATTATATATCAAAGTATCAAGCTCCTCGACACCTAGTCACAGCCAAGCCAACATTTGATATTATGATACCACTATGGATATTTTGATATTATCATGATATTCTGATATTATGGTGATATATCAAAATATCAAGCCTTTTGACACTTCGTCACATCTCGGCCAACATTTGATATTATGATATCGCTATCGGTATTTTGACATTATCATGATATCCTGATATTATCATGATATTATCATGATTTATTATCTGGCTGTGTCTCACAAGGACTGGGAACTACCAAATTCACGAATTTGATTGGCTGAAATCATTTAACATCACCGATCACTTCACGTGCACCTCCGCCAATGTAATCTATTGCATAACTTGCACTTATTGCAAAAAGACATACATCGGCGAAACAGGCGGAAGACTAGGTGACCGATTCCGAGAACACCTTCGAGACGTGGAAAGGAATGACAAGGACACATCGAAACCAGTCGCTAGACATTTTAATTTACCTAATCATTCTAAGCAACATATGGCAATCTGCGGTCTTTCCTTACACTTAGGTAGCACGGAAAGG